TCTGGTTGATGTCCCCTGTTTCCTCAGCCAGCTCATCTTCATCAATGAAACCACACTTCTCGTCACTGGTCTGCTCCGGATCTGCCCACGGCTGCTTCTCCCCAGAGGCGAAGATGCCATAGAAAGATAACGCGCGCCATAATGCACCATGGAAGCGATAAGGAACACATACTGCCACTCTTCTCGGGTCTGAAAGGATAAAGGAGTTGTCAAGTATTCATTGACATAAAGAAACCCATCCTGGGAGCTGCAAGAATAACGCATGAAATAAACATGCAGTACAATCTGAGCACTTTTTGACAATAATATGGAGAAAGCTATAACAAAATATGATAGATGACAAAAACTCAACCTTCTATAGCAACATCAGTCATTCAAGGCTTCCAGTCCAAACACATAGCACACTTAAAAATTCAAAGTGGTCTTACTTTGTGTTTGGTCATGGCACCCACTATAAGAGGACACACCATTCCTGACAGAGTTCCCACTCCATTAGAGATTCCCATGAGGATACTGGCATAGCGAGGAGCGATGTCTAAATGATTGACATTAAAACCTGATGGAAAATAAAGGTTTAAATTTTATTAACATCTTACAAAAAGTGAAATAACTAAATAATTATTATTTTTTCCACTGTGTTAATACCAACAAACCAGGGATATTATCATTAAAACTAAAACCATTAAAAAATATTTTCATTATATTAAAATAAACATTAACTGAAATCAAATTAAATAAAAACATTCACTTTATTTCAGCTAGTACTAAAATAACTAAAATTAAATAAAGCTACAGTATATAGACATTGAAAAAAAATCTACTTTAAAATATGAACAAAAACTATAATAGGTTAGAATAGTGATACTAAAATAACACTGCAACAAACAACATTACAGAAAGATGTTTTCAAACACTCCGTTTCAGTTCTATACTGTTCTGTATCACGAGTGCACATTTTTTCCAGTATGACTAACATGATGTTGGAGATACAGACTAAAAATAGAAAGACACGCCATCTTGTAGAGCGGAGGCCCTCCCTCATTGAGTGATCTGTCTGGATGTGCTGCCTTTGCTCTCAGGGGACAGTGTGTATGAATTATTTAAAAAGTCCAGCAAAACCACTTATTCCTTCCAAGCTGCAGTGGAGGAAGAGTGTGTTTGAGTGTAAAAAGGAGAACAATGGTATTTTGTTACAAACAAGGCATTATTTGCAGTCTTCCCTGGCTGCATATGGTTGCTTTTTATTGCTGCTTTTTCTTGTCATTGTTGTGTATAAACGGCAGGTTTGCATGGGAATGTATTAAATCAGACATATTGTTTCCCCAAGGACTTGCCTGATATTGCAAATCCACTGAAGCCGACAGCCAACACAAGGAATGAAATGGCCATCCCTTTACTGTGCGAGTAACCAACAACCAATAAGAGAGTGGCCTCCATCCCAAAGCCTGTGAAAGATAAAAACATGTGGATAAACAATTCACTAAGCTAAAATAGACAAATAAAATGACAATAAAAATATATTTAGAGGAAATGCCGAAAGGGTAAAAGTGTGAAATATTTAGGTCATAACATTTCAAATGGTTTTCTAGAGCTATATATAGCTGTGTGTGTATCTGCAATAGGCTCCACTCACCTCCGCAGTTCATGATCTTCCGAACTGTTGTAGTTGACAGGATGTTTTTGACGCGAAGGTAATCAGCTAACTGTCCTCCAATGGGTACTACAATGGTCATCACCAGATGGGGCAAGGCGGACAGCATGCCAACCTGAATAAAACAGTCCTTATTACCAATTGACCAAAAATGTGGTTCCACCACAGAAAAGAGAGAAAAGTCCGAAGTCTAATCTACAATAAGACTAGATTTTCGCAACTAGTTAATTACATGTTACACAATTACACATACTGGATAAAAAACAATAAATAAATTGACATGCAACATTACTGTAATATGAAAGGCATCCCTATGAATTAGTATGTTAATTAAACAAATAGATGCAAAGACATGATTTCAGGTTTAACTGTAGCAGGTGAGGAAACGAGAGCAAAATGAGATGCAAGCACAGACTTAAATCACCAATAAATGATTAATGAATAATTCATCATGAACTACTCACAATGAATAATTTATCAACCTATTCCAGACCTTAGGGAATGACAAAGGTCACCCATTTACGGATATACAATAGAATTATAGTCAAAAATCATGCAACTTAGATACCAAGACTAGCCATTTTGATCCAATCAATCATGAATTTTGTATAAAACAAATACCAATTTAAATACATGCAATATAAAAGGTAAACTGAAATTACCTTGCTAATCTCAAAGCCAAACACCTCCTCAAAGTATGCAGGCTGGCTGATGAGCAGCAAGTAGAAGGTCCAACTCCTGCAGAAGTTGGCCACAATGATTGCATAGACAGGCATGGACGTGAAAAATTTCTTCCAAGGTGTCTTGAATTTCTGTCGGAGAAATTAGTATTGCAGTTTATAGCCATATTGATAATGATTTTATCTGTCGTGTCTTGAACATTTTTGATTTTTTGTCAGTACTGATGTTCTCTAGGAGTGCATGGCATTTACACCAAAGAAATCAAAGTATTAGCTGACTGACATTTTATAGCTTCAAAACAACTAATGTGCAAGACTTCTCTTATACTATATGTCTTTGGTATGTTACCGAATTTAATTAAATCCTCATATGGTGACACTGAATATATCGGCCTCTACCTCAAAATCTATAAGACCACAATAGATTAATAAAATAAGTTTATACTTTAAAGGCAACATGTTTTGGTAGTCACACATTTATCTCCTCATGTTTTTCAACACATCCAGACTTATATGCTTTTTAAAATATTACCTTTTATGTGAAAAGGTTTCATGTAAAACGTCTGCAAAGTTTTAAAGATTAAAGTGCAAAATCCATAAAATGATTGTCTCAATCAAAAGTTGATTCTGAACTGCTGAAATGAGTCGTCAGCAATTCCAGGGTATTATAATCATAACACATTTGCCTATGGTCTTTATTGATGCGAACAATGTCTACTTAGTACTTTGGCCCACCCTCAAATAATGCAGTTGTAGCAGAGAATTTCGACATGTCGAGAAGACACTGCATGTTTTTTTTGTTTTTTTTTTGCTCAGTAAATCCACTTTGCATGCTCTTCCAAAGGTTAGGACTTAAAACCAATGCCATTGTTACTGTTTATATATGCAAGTGCTGAGGAAGTTTCTGGAGCTAAAAATCAAATATGGTCATGGATGAACATGTGTAAGCAGTAGACCAATCACAACAGACTGGGCCATCTGACCAATCAGAGCAGAAGGTCTCGGAAAGGAGGGGTTAAGAAAGTGAATCCTTTATCAAGAAATTTAAAATACTAAAATACTGTGAAAAAAGTGCAATGAATATGATGAGAAAATTAAAGTGTTTTTTTGACCATGGATGTATGTAAACCTATTGTAGGAGGAGACCTTCAAAATCAAATTAGGAATCTTTAAAAAAAAACATATCACTGGAAATTGAAATAATTTTATGGTTTCATTGACCGTCTATCAAATTGCAAATAACTCAAAACAAGTTTTAAACTACAGCAATGTCATAATAATTTTGTTCACAGTAACTGTAAACAGGGGTTTCTCTCTCCATCAAAGCTCCCAATCTTAAACAAGGTCAAAATCTTAAAAGAAAACATATCCTCTTCTTTTGCCAATTATTAACCTTATGTGAAAATAAATAGACAATAGCAAATTATGCTGTTAAGGCCTAGCATACGGAGTCAGAAATTTCGTATGCGTTTTTTCGTATTCGTGATTCGGTGGCTCTGAATTGTCAAAACACCATTCAAAAACCATTCAAACTGCTTGCTACTGATATGAAAAAACACAGAAAATCAAACCTGATCCGATTTTTTTTTATGACGGACGAAAGTGTGCAAGTGTGATTTAAACGTGTGGTCGTATTTATGTTTTTAACGTGTGAAAATTGCGGATGCGAATTTTGGACTCAGTGTGCAAGGGCCATTAATCTCTACAATCTTTCAAAGCACAACCATATGAATTTGATTTGTTTCAAGCAACAACTGAGTATTATAATTACAGATAATTATAAGAGTGATGCTTATAGGTTTGAATGAGGGGAGATGTTATTCCATTAGTCAAACCATCTCTTTTTAGGACTTGAGTCCTTTAGTCCATATCCAGAAGTTTGGAGTATGATTATGTATGGGGTCACTCACTTCTGCAGGTCCTAGCAGCTTAGCGCTCTCTCCGATACTCTCCTCAATGAAGCAGCGTTCTTCAGCAGTGATGGTGGGATGTACAGCTGGGCTCTCATATGACACCAAGATCCAGAACAAATACCAGAACATCCCAAAACACCCTAAAGAGAAACAAAGAGTTCTTAGATGTTGATCTTAAAGCAAAGCATCATAAAATGATGTCAGATAAGAAGCAGACAGGAAGATCAGCTGACTGAAAACTCCTCATTTAACTGAATGAATTACAGTTCATTGCTTTCCAGACAGAGTGTGCTAATTCTTGGCACAGGGACAGGCAGATTCAGTGTCAGAGCAGAGGATAGACACATGGCAGCATCAGAGGAAAAATCAATACTCAGTATCAGTGCTACACAGTTGATCCATACTACACACTTACTAAAATACACTCATCAAGACCGTTAAGCACTCTTATACAATTATGCCATATACACTATAACCATGGCTCATACAGTGGTGCACACACACAAACCACTCTTACCATATACGTAGAAAACAGATGACCAGCCAGTGTACTGCACCAGGATCCCAGCTAGAGGCATGGCAATGACAGCTCCAGCATAGGAACCTACAGAACGGGAGAGGATGAGGGCCACGTGAGAGCTCAAATGGAACCAAAAACAGCTTCAACTCTGGCAGCTTCAAATCAAAATCGCTGAATACAAGCATTAAAACAACACAGGAAAATACAGTCCATGAATAAATAATGTTTCCTAGAATTCTTGAGGACAAACAACAAATGTATCTTTAAATTTTAATATGCACACAATAATGAGGCAACTAAACAAAATTTAATGGCACATGATTTTTTTTTACTAACAACCAATTTACTTGAAAGAGAATAAAGATGTAAATTACCACAGAAAGAGGTTGTGGCTAGACGGCTTCTTTCCAGTGGAGGAGCCCATTTACTCCAGATCCCATGACAGGCTGGGTAGGTCACACCCTAGATAACAATAATACTACAAATCAGGTTTACAAAGACATGTGCTTAGACAGATTTTCAGATTATTCATTTTGGTTTTAAATTATAAAACATGTGACATTACACTGTGATGTATGATGGCATATATATATATATATATATATATATATATATATATATATATATATATATATATATATATATATATATATATATATATACTTTGTTGTCATAGGCACATGCGCCTCTACAGATCAATTCAGGCAGCTGTACTAAAGACAAAGCCTGGGTTACTATTCTCTCGGAATATCCTCAGGCCATAATAACTAATTGTTACAGGACCATGGGCTTAGGAAGAATTCCCACAAATGGCTTTTTGAGAAAATATCCACCAAAGGCAGGAGTCCAAATTTTAGATATAAATACATAGAGAAGGTATGATATTAGATCGTTATTAGCAAACAAGTAATCAGAATGACATGAGAGAAAATCGTACTTACCTCTACAAGCCCTTGTAATATCCTGACGAATATGACGCAACCATAGTGAGCACGTGCAGCTGTGGGGATGAACATATTCAGTGTGGACGTGAGGAAAATGGCTGCGCCGAATACCCTGAATAACAGATGGAAACAAGGTTTCATTATAGACCACTGGATTATAGAATGCAAAAAATGCATTTCATATGTAACATTTTGGTTTCTTTAAGCTCTACTTTAACCCCCCAAAAATGGACGTTATAGCCTACATTCAAATCTTTCTGTGTAGAAGAAAATAATAATAGCCTAATAATAATAAAACGGGGATATTGGTCGCACAGGCTGAAGTCCCTACTGCCAGAGAAGAAATACGGGTTTCCATTTATTTCCAATTTTCCTGGCGTCCTGCAGAGCTCAAGACCCTTTCTCTCACCTCTCCCACCGGCACTCGCTAATCGGATTGAGGGAGTTCTCCGGCACGAGATTCGCTGATTCTATTAGACCTCAATCACGTCAACCAATAGCCGAAATATGAACTGAGAACTGATGTATAATTTCTGCGACCTCAATTATGTCAAAGATTTGACGTAGCTACTGAGTTAATAGAACTTCAATTGCACAGCATTTCAATCGGCTATGTCGATCCAAATATTTCCAGCTACCGACATGGCAGTTTTATTTTTGATAAATTTGTTGTGTGATATATGAGGCACTGCCAAACCCTCTGGCAGCATGTCCGGGGCTGGTTGCCATGCCCCCCTCATTGAACAGATTAGACACGGTTCCCCCCGGGACCTCATTAACAGGTGGAGAATGCCCCATAGACAGAGTCTAATCCTACAACTCACACGACGGGTCAGCCTTCAGTCTGCCACTCACGCAACACCGAAACACGAGCACACACGTCAACCATAGCAATGAACTCTCTCTGCCTGTCTGAAGCCTTGATTTATTCGTTTGTTTATTTGATTTCATTTCCCCTTGAAAACGTGAATAAAAAAATGGTATTGATAAGGTTTATATAATAATAATACAATTAGATGTAGAACAGCGATGTAGGCTATTATGCCTTCTTTAATATTAACCATGGCCTTCTTCAAATGGAAACGTTGAGACGTTTTCCAAAATATCTAATAAAAATTTCGTTAGAGATCTTTCTCCTTTCTTCGTTTTCTGTAACAAAATTGAATCACTGGACTATAATAATGCATACAGTTAAGTGTGTTGCATAGAGTATAACTAAATTAATTTCACACAAAATGCATGTCCTCCTTAAGTATTTACACAATCAACCAATCAATAAAACAAATTGGAGGCTGAGTCGCACTTGTGCTACATCAGCTCCTCCCATCATCCTCTATTTCTTCCGATGACAGTATATCCAGTATGCGCTATGAATAACCAAGGTAAAAAAACAATCTTTGTAGCTCGATTTTGCTAATGCGAATTCGGCTATTGCTTATTTCAAATATTTATTTCAATTATGTTTTATATAGTCTTATATTACTGAAGCCATGTAATAATTATTTATACTATTACATTCAACAATGTTTAATACATTTCAAATACATTTGTGATTGCTACATTTAACGAAATTCGTTGTTTGGCATTATTTTCGCACTGCTTTCGTCTTGGGTTGACAAACACCTGGAGATGCGACACTGGCTGCATTTGAACTTGCCAGCTCCTGTTATGTGCAGAAGCTCTGTGCACGATCTGCTGGTTTGGAAAACGTGGGCAACACCATCTTTGAGTAGGCTAACAGGCGTAACATGCAACATTAGGGACAAACATCTGTGATCCGTTTAAAAATTTTAGAATTTATCAATAAAATAAAGTATTATTCTAGAATATTTATTGTTAGTAAATGTTTTAACAATTAATTAGCATATGAATGTACTTTCGTTACCATTAGGCTTTTTCCTAGCCTATATTGCAATGTGGAAAATAGGCCTATATCAACCAAATGCGACTTAAAAGCATTACTGAAATAATTCTACTATAAATAATAATAATAATCTGAATGAATTAACAAATACACATCCAGTCTATGTTTCAAAAGCTTTACCTGTTTGCCGCCAGTCTAGAACAAATGTATCCTCCGGGAATTTGTGTCACAATATATCCCCAGAAAAACGAGCCATGGATCATTCCAACTGTTTCCGGGTCCCAGTTGAACTTTGCCTTCTATGGAAGAGAAATACCAGAAAATAACAGATTACAAATCCTGTCTGTAAAAGGCGAGACAACTAAAAACATATTTAAACATTTAAACAAATTTATACACACGTTTTCACACACCTCTAATAACATGGTAAATAGCCTAGCCTACACTGTAAAAAATGCCTGTGAAATCTACAGTTATTTACTGTAGATGTCACAGTAACAATACTGTAAAAGATTTTTACAGTAGAATATTGTAAAGTTTACAGTAAGACCTTAAAAATCACAGTAGTTCAAGCATTACAGTGGAAATCACAGTAGTCAAATCATTACTGTAAAAAATCACAATACAGCCACTAAAGTACTGTAAATAGTAAAGTAAACTACTGTAATTTTCCTTTTTTTATCATATCTTTCTTTGTAACCCTTGTGTTGTAACTTGTACTCTGATGCACCTGCTGCATGAGCTTTCTATATATATATATATATATATATATATATATATATATATATATATATATATATATATACAGTATATATATATATATATATATACTATATATAAATAATTTAAATATCTTTTGTTTGTTTGTATTTGTGACTGTAAATGGGTGTTAACAGGGCATAAACATATTTAATCCTTATCTTAAACTTCTCCAAAGTCTCCCCTAACAATATAGGCTTCATAAATGCATAATTTTTTGAGATATCATATCATCCTCTGATTTGAAATGAAGCATGACCATTGGTTATAAGTTGCAATAGTATTCACACTTTTCTATAAATATTAACATATACATTTAATAAATATATTCTTAATGTTGGTTGTTTTTATCTTTTAGCTTAACGTTATATACTTCAATATTAATAACATTTGATTAATCATGAGTTTTGAATTTGAGCCAAAACTCTCAAGCTTTCTAAGTATGTTTTGATTAATGTATCTATTCAGAATGAAGAAACCTTTTTATTATGTGTAGGTTATGTGTGCATTACTTTCCAAAATTGGGGCTGCCTGGTTAACTCATAAATACGTAACATGGGATTTTTATTTTACAAAAATCAGTGTTTTTATATGTATATATATATTTTCGAAAGCAGGAGAGATAAATGTGCAAGTTTCCAGAGCTGTTTCTGAGCTGCAAGGCGAAATCAAAACGCCGTCAGAGTGGGCGGGGTTTAGGCAGTCAAAGCTAGAGTCTGTTAGAAAAAAGCGCGAAAGAAGCATTTGAATTTCTGTTTCGTCGTCAGTGACAGAAAAGCTAAGTTAATAGTCGAATTTACGTTTTCGTAACAGCCTTTAACGTTAAGCTCCGTTAATAAGTCTAGTATTTTTCAAATGTGCGTTTCTTTATACACGGCTTTGTCTTGTGGTTGTAACGTTATTTATTTTGTTTTCGTCTTTGTGTTGATATCTTTCACTTTTTGCCTGAGAGGAATTCAGCGAAAACGTTTCCGTGAGAGCGCCGACGGAGACGTTTTTACAGCCTTTAAACGTTATTAATATTAGTTAGCCAACAGTTTACCTAGTTATCGGTAGCTAGCTAGCCAGGAGAATATTTTTCCCCCACCCGTTGCCTCAGCCGGAGTTTCCATCTTGGGATCGCGGATCCTTCACCAACTGCTAATGGGGATTCGGGACTTCCAGAAAATCAGTAAGTAACGTTAACTTTACGTACCATTTTACACCCCCAACATAATGCAGGTTGACAAGCCTCCAATTGTTCAAGTAAATACAGGTTTGTTTGTGTCAGGTTTATGTTATTGGTGGTTGAGCATTTTTTCTTTAATAGACCTCACCTCACAATAATAACGTTAAGTTATAACATGGTGCTAACGTCTATCTCAATTATTGGTTAAATGCTGGGTAACTTAACAGTTAAAGTCACTGTTGTCCACTGTGTGAACAATATTTTAATTAAGAGAAAATGTATGTAACTTAGAGTGGTAATTGATAAAGTTATTGTGGTAAGTTACTTAGTTTTTTTATGAGTAAACATGCACAAACCTAAAGAGAAAAAAAAAAGGCTCATTGCTTTCTTATCAACAATTTTTATAAAGCTTTTTCTATCCTAGTTAGTTACCTTCTTTCGAGTGACTCTTTATCTTTGCTGGCATAGGAGACTAACGGTAGCTACCACTCCCTCAGATGTAGAAGAGGCCCAGCTGTCTCCTCCCTATCACTCCAAGGATTATCATGCTTGGTAAGTTTCACATTCACTGTTAACAAATCCTTAATGTATTAACTTTATGCACAAGCAAAGCAACGTTTCTGGAAAACACTAGTGAATGCAGAGTTTGTGTCGTGCCATTCTCTGCACTAGTCAGCAGTCACTTCAAAAACTTAAGTTATGTGGAGTAAGTTACTCTCTTATTTTTAGTAGCCACCTATAATGTCGTGATTACTATTTCAGATTGCTTGCTATGCCTGTGTCACTCATTGTTTTTCTATCACCAAACCAGTAACTGCTATTTAAAATCCTTAAAATTCACCTCAAAATGAAAGTTTCCGATTAATTTACAAGATATCCATGTCTTTCTTTCCTTCCTCAATGAAAGAGAAATGACATTTTTGTAGGAAAACATTTCTAGATTTTTCTTTGAATAATGGGCTCCAGTAGTCCAACAATTGTAGATAAAAAGTATATAAATTATAATTTTTTTTTCAGAAAATGACTGATCATTTCGCTAGATAAGACCCTAATCCTCAGCTGGGAACCTAGTGCGTTGAAGTACTTCAAAGACCTTTGAAACTGCATTCATTTGGACTTTAAAACGTTGTTTACAATTGAAGCCCATTATCTAAAGAAAAATCAAGAAATGTTTTCCTCAAACTTAATTTCTCTTCCACTGAGGAAAGAAAGACATGGATATCTTGGATGGCATTAGGGTGAGTAAATTATTAGGAGATTTTCATTTTGAGGTGAACTAATCAATCCTTTAATCCACTGCTTCAAAGATATGTATGCTCCCTGCCCTGTTTTTACAATAATTTATGTGGAAAAAATCTTTTATTGAATGTATCGCTATGAAATATAATTTTTGTGATGACTCTTGTCTTTACTAAGGAGAGACTGCAAAAAAATGGATGCTGTCGATCAAGGGGAGGGTCGTAACCCCACCTGGTGCTCACATGGTGGACTTCACCACTGCCTTGGCCGCTCTCTTCGCCTGTTACGTATTCAACCTACAGTATTAGGTGGAAGCCAGCACAACACTGGAGTTTGATCAGAGGTATTTTTATATTAAATAATTTGATTGCAATGTAAAAGCACATTGACAATTGAAAAGCTGTTCAAAATCATCTTCTCCCTTTAAAATGTTATGTAATAGGTAGGGCCCTATGAAATCCATTTTATTTTTTCCCAAATTCCGTTTTATTTTTTCCCAAATTTCGTTTTTTCCGTTTTAATTTTAGGGAATTAGGTTTTTTTTTACCCTTGACTGTTATTTTAGTTGTAAAAAATAGTATGCTTTTAAAGTTAATGATAAAAATCTATTAAAAAAATAAAAATAAATTAGGAATGACCTTAAATTTATTGAGGTAATACAGACAATTACTCAGTAGCCTTTTCAGGACAAATACTGCATGATGCAACATAACACTGCACTCTTCAAGTAACAACAAAATATGGTTATGAGCTTTAAACTGTCCAGTAATATAAATTATATTAGTTTATAAGTTTAAATAAAGTCACACTCTGTCTCTCATGGAGTTCGCTTCGCCTTTGTCCAGTCCGGCGCCTCAGACAGACGTGGTGTGCACGTCGTGTGTATGTGTGTGTGTGTGTGTGTGTGTGTGTGAGAGACGCGTGAGTGAGAGAGAGACGGAGGGAGAGCGGGGAAATACAACTGAATGAATACGCTGCGTGTTTTAAATAGTGTTAAAAACCGAAACGCAGTATGTGGCGGCGAATTAAGTGTGGGAAACACTGCATAAGTCACGTGCGAACTGCTCGGCACTGACGGCTTATACCGTTGAGTTTCTTAACTTTTAGTCGACGAAAGGAGAGCCGCTTCGCCATGCTTTCATTGTTTTGATTTCGTCATTGGAGCTGAAATGATGGGTTGGGGGGTTGAGTCGCCCAGATTTGCTTCCCCCGGTCTGCATTTTCAACAGACATACGTTCTTCTCCCACACAAAAACAGAATTTCAAACCAAATATGTAAAAATCCACGAAATTCCGCGTTAACACTAGATTCCGCGTTAATTGGCCAATTCCGCGATTCCGTCCGCGATTTCGTTATCGCGGAAATCATAGGGCTCTAAATAGGGCTGGGCGATATGTCTGAAAACTGTATCACGATATAAGTGTTTCATATTGGTTGATATCGACAATTATTGATATTTTTATGACCTATTTAAAATAAGGACCATGAGAAAAATATATTACATTTAAACATTTTTATTTTAAACCTAAAGGATTAGTTCACCTCAAAATGTAAATTTCCTTATAATTAACTCACCCCAATGGCATCCAAGATATCCATCTCTTTCTTTCTTCAGTGGAAAAGAATTTAAAGGAGAACTCCAGCGTAAAATGAACCGTTGGTCTAATAACACATTTTTACCTAGTCAGCCGTTCTCTGATATTTGTTTTCATGATAATCGAATGTAAAGAGTTTTATCTCTAAAAACTGTTTAGATTATAACGCTAGTATATGGGGACATATAATAAGTAAGATCTATCGCTAGTTAATACCACTAACAAGGCTCAAAATAGCCCCACACTAACACCAAACGGCATTCGTGGTTCGACTTGTCGAGACTGTTTTCCCAAGATGGCTCCTGCCTGTATACGCGAAGTGGACTGTCTTGATAAAATATCTTCTTATTATACTGTCTGTACACTTACAAAGTTCTCAATGCTTCGTTTTGGATGTAGGGACCCTCATTATGTTACTATGTTAGTGTGGGGCTATTTTGAGCCTTGTTAGTGGTATTAACTAGCGATTTCTTTTTACTTAGTCAATGCCCCCATATACTAGCGTTATACACTAAACAGTTTTTAGAGATAAAACTCTTTACATTCGATTATCATAAAAACAAATCTCAGAGAATGGTCGACTAGGTACCAATATGTTATTAGACCAAAGGTTAATTTTGCACTGGAGTTCTCCTTTAAGAACTAATCCTTTAAAGGGAAAATTAAGCAGTCAATCAAGTTTACAAGATTTACTAGATGGATTTCCACTATAATCAACAATTATATAAGACACATGACAAATGTAAACATATAAAAGAAAAAAAGTAAAAACTTAATATCTTTCGCCGCCAGGGTGGCGCCATTGCGCAGTATTCTAACATGTGACGTAACGGGGTTAGTTGGCTTTAGTTAATAGGCTTTGGGCAGTGAATATCCCAACATCAAACTGTTTACACCACAGTGTTTTGACCGCGGACGACTAATGTTAGGTACAGTTATTAGACAAAAAGACAATGTCTAATGTTATGTTGACAATCTGCACTGTGTTCACGTGTTCAAACATTGTTCACGATGTCTGCCATCATATTCCCGTCTCGTCAACACCATGTAAGTTACGTTGCTATGTAGAGCAACACCATGTAAGTTACGTTGCTATGTAACCACCACCGGTGGTGGTTTGGGGCGAAGAGCGGGTTTGAAATGCTAACAGGTGTCAGTATGGCTGTTGAATTGCGATGCCCACTGTGTCAGAGTCCATCTGCTTTCAAGAGGTTGATCTTGACCATGCGTGGTCAATTCTGCATCACTGGCACGCACGTTTACCATGCTATACCATCTATACTAGTTAAAACTCATAAATAACTACAAATAACTAATGTTAGGGTAATCTGTTATGTTTTGTTGCGTGTTTCTTAAAAAAAAAAAATATATATATATATATATATATATATATATATATATATATATCGGCCGATATATAGGAATATCGGATTTTAAAACCAACAAATATTTGTAGCGGTATCGGCCTTCAAAATCCTTTATCAGTCGGGCTCTAGTTAAAATAACTGATCTGTCACGAGACGTCTGAATCGGTGTATAACAAATTGGTAACACTTTACAATATGGTTACATTTATTAAACTCTAGTTAACTACATTAGTTAACATTAACTATTAATAAACTGCACTTCTACAGCATTTATTAAACTTTCTAAATGTTAATTTCACCATTTACTAGTAGCCTAAATTATTTAAATAAGTTGTATTTGTTAAAGGAACACTCCACTTTTGTTTTTTATTGGCTCTACAACTCTCCCAGAGTTAAACAGTTGAGTTTTACCGTTTTCGAAACCATTCAGTCGATTTAATGTGTTTTCTTCTTTAATTTCAGGGCTCCAAATAGGATTCTCTGTCTCCAAGGTCAAGGCATGCAAGAGGCCATAGACCTTTGCCAAGTGGCAGGGGAAGTTTATTTTCCTTTCTGTTTTAAATGTTCATGCAAATGTTAAATATATATTTTTTTAATGTTCAATGTTTTATTTTATTTCAATATTGCCATAATGTTATTTATTGCTCTTTAGAATGGGGTAATCAGTTATTTGCACAACTTCAAAGTAGTTAAATTTTTTGACTGTATTGTATCAATTTGCATTATTGTTCCATTATAGCAACTAGTCATACGGAACTAGTGAATGAACTAGTAACAGTTTGCTCTGTAACTTTACAAATCTTGTAATGAAATAGGCTCGTTGTATCAATTTGTATTAGCCTATTGTTCCGTCATAGCAACCTGTCATACAGAACTATTGAATGAACTAATAACAATTTGCTCTGTAACTTTAAAAAAACGTTTTGTAAAATTTTCTTCAGTCGTAAATTAAAGGAACACGACAACTTGTTAGGACTTTAGCATATTCACTGTATCCCCCAGAGTTAGATATATCTCGTGCATGCTGTAACTCTGTCTGACACACCCACCGCTAGCCTAGCTTAGCACAAAGACTGGGTCTAAATGGCTCCAACTAGCATACTAATCCCAATAAGTGACAAAATAACGCAAACATTTTCCTATTTACATGTTGTGATTTGTATAGTCACCGAGTGTACAAAAAACAAGGTCATATGTGACACAGCCATCTTTACCGTATAAATATTGGGAACTATATTCTCAGAAGGCGAAGCACTGCTACTTGGGCGGAGTGATAACCGCAGCACCCGAGACGCGTTATGGAGAGGAGCAGAGAGTTCGTTCAGAGTTGGAATAATAGAGTCAGCAATTACTAGATAGTGAAGCATAGTTTACAATCATGGGTGTTCGCTGTATTGTAAAGAGCTGCGACAATAAATGGGAGACCAGGTAATGCCATGATGTTTCAAAGAATTCCGAACAAAAATGCATCCTGACTAATAAATATCACAGGTCAGCATTTTTGTTTGGAATTCTATGAAACATCATGGCATTACCTGGTCTCCCATTTATTGTCGCAGCTCTTTTAAAATACAGCGAACACCCATGATTGTAAACTATGCTTTCACTATCTAGTAATTGCTGACTCTATTAATCCAACTCTGAACGAACTCTCTGCTCCTCTCCACGGCGCGTCTCAGGTGCTGCGGTTATCACTAGCAGTGGTTCGCCTTCTGAGACTATAGTTCCCAATATGCGGTTAAATGATGGCTGTGTCTCATATGACCTTGTTATTTGTACACTCTGATTTATACAAATCACAACATAAATAGGAAAATGTTTGCGTTATTTTGTTACTTATTGGGATTAGTATGCTAGCTGGAGCCATTTACATCCAGTCTTTGTGCTAAGCTATAGGCTAGCGGTGGGTGTGTCAGACAGAGTTACAGCACGCATGGAGATGAAAAAGGTATGTAAGGATTTATCTAACTCTGGGGGATACGGTGAAAAAGCTAAAGTCCCAAAAAGTCGGAGTGTTCCTTTGAATATAGCAACAGTAGAATAAGCATGATAATAGACTTCACGCCATTAGACTATCTAAAGTTAACACTCCGCTGGGTGTTGTGGCCACATTACTTGCATAGAACGTGCATTAACTTTGGATGGTATAATGGCATGTTGTCCAATGTCCATTATCCCTTTGTTGTACCTGTTTTGTCATTTCTGTTCACCAAATCTTTTTAAATAAATAACTGTTAACAATTTTCTTATTGTCTGCAGTTGATTGCAATGTTTTAGAAAAATGGGTGTTTCTTTTAATGATGGCTAATATTAAATGATAGTGATATAGTATTTAAATTGTACAGTGAGAAACTGAATTTACAGTGCTTAACCGTTATCTACTGTTTATAGTACTGTGTTGCATACAATACATAAAAAACAGTGCTTAATGTTTTTTGTATGTAAATTAAATTGAAATTTTATTCTACAGTAAAACAATCAATGCTGTAAATACAACTAAAATCAAAATATTTCAATGTTTTTGATTTCACAGTGTTTACATAAAATACTGTGAAAAGTACACTACCCTTACTGTAAAACGTATTCACAGTAACTTACTGGCAACGATTAGCCAGTAAGTTACTGTAAATACAACTAAAATCACAGTATTTAATTGTTTTTGAATTCACAGTATAAACATAAAATACTGTAAATGGAAGTACAGTACCCTTACTGTAAAGAGAATTCACAGTAACTTACTGGCTAATCGTTGCCAGTAAGTTACTGTAAATTTTACAGTACATTTTTTACAGTGTAGATAGATAGATAGATAGATAGATAGATAGATAGATAGATAGATACACCATGATGACAAAAATACTGCTAAGGTCACAACATCTAAAGCAAGTGTGAAGGACATTGTCTGGCAGACGAGTGTCTCATTTGCACCTCTCTTACTGTGTGGTGTCCTGCAGGGATGCGGATGTGTCTGAATCAGAGGACTGAGGCTGAAAGTACTGGCATAGGCTCAAACAGACTTAAACTGACCATATCTGTGCTCTGAAGCCTAATCTTAGACCATATACTTTTGTTAAAGTTCAAATGTTTGAACTTGGCACTAGATGCTCCAAATGACGAAATTCTAGACTTAATGAATTAACAACAAAAGCTTTTTTATCTGTTTGCTAATGATACACAACATTGTATTTCGGAGGGCATTAGGTTTTCTGAACACATCCTCTAAGTGCAGCCCCTCCTTCCAGCCTCCATTAGGAGGTTTGTGTGCTCAAAAGGTTTTGCTGATCTCGAGGGGCCCTTACATTGATTTTACTAGAGCAGGGAAAGGACACAGATGCTATATGGGCGACGGACAACCAATGTTGGGGCTTAAAAACTCAGATATGATTTACCAATTTGCAGACACACAACAGGTGGACAAAGTAGGCTACATTGTGCTTGACGATTGTGCATTTTCTTTGGGCTCCAAAGCTTATTGGAATGTAAAACAACACAGGCGAGTACAATTTTGTTATAATTTTATATAAAAAAGGCTATATAGAGCATTTCAATTTCACATCAACAAACCTCTCCATTTACAGTAACACAGCAAAAGGAAGCCATATATCCACACTTTACTCATAGGCAGGAAACAAGAATAAGGTACCTCAAAATCATCAGGCAAATTACTGTCATTTTTGAAGATATTTGAATACCTTTACACACAATCCTTGTGTCACTGAATATTGCAACAGGAGTGGGAAAATGCAAGGAGGAAGAGGAAAGAAGGGGAGCAAGGGAGCGCTTCTCTAGCCACAGACAAAACACAGACCAGAAACAATGGGGAAGGACAAAAAGAGAGGATTAACGTAAAAGATACCCGACAACAACATACTCTCAAAAAGCAACCACTGGCAACCATACAGGACGACTACAGAGGTGCGGTCACCTGCGGAGCTGAGGACCCCGGTGAGACCTTCGTCCGGCCGGGAAGCAGCTGCAGGTGACACTTAAGAATCATTCTCTTCTGGTGAGTGGGTCCAGCACACAGACTCTCAATGAGAGTTGCACTGGACTCTTACTAAATCTAAATATATTTTCATATGTATATTTATATATACTTTAACAGCAAGTAATTGTTTAATCTTTTCTTCTTTTTTTTTAATTGTCATCACAAAACATTTAAACCAAAATGATTACAGATAAATGTGCTAACTTGTTACATATTTTTGGGTGAAGTGACCGCTAAGTAACTGTTACCATGGCTTTATTGCTTTGTCCATTGAATATGGTCATTACCTGCTGCTAGGACTGTGTCAGCCCTTAGACAGACGTGTTTTCCCAATGGACACTTTTCCCCCATCCCAGCTAAAACCCCACACTACAGGTTACCTTTGGTTAATTGTGCAAAGAAATTGACACGGCAGTAACAGTTTTGTAAAGTAAAAGAACGTAGTAATAGTCAAATGAAAAACAACATTTACAAAAACTATTTTAACCCATGCATAACTAACATTCACAGATGTCAAAATGGCATGGAGTTAAAAGAATGGAATGGAATTTAAAGAGTCTTGGAGTTTTGACACCCTGTGCTTTTGCTTTTTTGTAGCTTTTGCGATAATGTTCCCAGACATTTCCAATGATTTAAACCCAAGTTTCATCTATTACACCAGACACCAAATAGAACAACACCATCCAATTGAAACAACCTGCTGAGCTTGAGAAACATTGTTTTTGTTGCTTTTACGTCATCTGAACAACTGTGCTTTTTTTCTCTGCAGTGTCAAAGACCAAAGTGCTCTTTAATCTCTCAGAAATATGAATTATACGATGGACAAGTAACACATAATAAGATATAAACACCCACTTAGTGTGCTGTTAAACAACATTGTCCAGCTCCCTTAGTGCAATCAGAAAAAGACAGTGTAAACCTGTTGCTTGGTTGGAATTCTCCACAGCGGTTTTTCTCCATGGATGAGATTCATTATCCGAGCCTTAGTTCTGGAAGCCAGTTGCCTGACAAACTCTAAAGGCTTTTCTATGTTGTAAAGGCTCAGAATAATGGGGTGGAAAAACTTGTGATGCACGATTGCACTTGAAATGAAGTTACTCTACTTTTTAATACATAGAACATTTACAGTCAGCCAATTTTGATATGGAATTCCCTCTTTGTATAATTGACACATTTAAATGTAGGATTTCATCACTTCAATTTGTGCAAACATATCAATTCTTAGGGTTTTGTACATCGATAATCGATAATCTTTTTTTAGGGCTTACAGACCCTATAAAATCTATCATATATTTTTATACTGTAGAGTGGCTCAAAAAGTATCTGGATGTTTAAGTCATAGTTAAAATGTATAAATGTCATTACATTAACTCATTTTTTTAAAGCTAAACATCTTACAAAAACAAGTTTGTTAGATTGGATAATATAATTAAATATCATATACATTATTCATATATAACTACATATATATTTTTATGAAGAGACTTCAAATGGACACTTCATACAGCCACTAAAGAAAAGCTGATTTGTTACAGATTGCACTTGGTTTGATATCTTGTTATTTAATGCGATGGAATTTACACGTTTTCAACTGTGACTTGTGAAGTTTTTTTGAATACTTTTCTTGCGCCACTGTAGGTATTTCTGTCTGTCTGTCTGTCTGTGTGTGTGTGTGTGTGTGTGTGTGTTCGTGTCTGTATGTGTGTGTTTGCAAGGTCTAGGAGTAATCCCCACCCTGCCTGTATCCGTAACCCTCTTCTTCCACACCATCCTGTACAAACACCTCTCGTTTATCCCATCCTTCTGCCCATCCTCCGTTCAACTGCGTGGTGGCCCCGTAGGTCTTGGCTGGACCTCCCATGGCACTGTAGCTCTGGTTGATGTCCCCTGTTTCCTCAGCCAGCTCATCTTCATCAATGAAACCACACTTCTCGTCACTGGTCTGCTCCGGATCTGCCCACGGCTGCTTCTCCCCAGAGGCGAAGATGCCATAGAAGATAACGCCGCCATAATGCACCATGGAAGCGATAAGGAACACATACTGCCACTCTTCTCGGGTCTGAAAGGATAAAGGAGTTGTCAAGTATTCATTGACATAAAGAAACCCATCCTGGGAGCTGCAAGAATAACGCATGAAATAAACATGCAGTACAATCTGAGCACTTTTGACAATAAATATGGAGAAAGCTATAACAAAATATGATAGATGACAAAAACTCAACCTTCTATAGCAACATCAGTCATTCAAGGCTTCCAGTCCAAACACATAGCACACTTAAAAATTCAAAGTGGTCTTACTTTGTGTTTGGTCATGGCACCCACTATAAGAGGACACACCATTCCTGACAGAGTTCCCACTCCATTAGAGATTCCCATGAGGATACTGGCATAGCGAGGAGCGATGTCTAAATGATTGACATTAAAACCTGATGGAAAATAAAGGTTTAAATTTTATTAACATCTTACAAAAAGTGAAATAACTAAATAATTATATTTTTTCCACTGTGTTAATACCAACAAACCAGGGATATTATCATTAAAACTAAAACCATTAAAAAATATTTTCATTATATTAAAATAAACATTAACTGAAATCAAATTAAATAAAAACATTCACTTTATTTCAGCTAGTACTAAAATAACTAAAATTAAATAAAGCTACAGTATATAGACATTGAAAAAAAATCTACTTTAAAATATGAACAAAAACTATAATAGGTTAGAATAGTGATACTAAAATAACACTGCAACAAACAACATTACAGAAAGATGTTTTCAAACACTCCGTTTCAGTTCTATACTGTTCTGTATCACGAGTGCACATTTTTTCCAGTATGACTAACATGATGTTGGAGATACAGACTAAAAATAGAAAGACACGCCATCTTGTAGAGCGGAGGCCCTCCCTCATTGAGTGATCTGTCTGGATGTGCTGCCTTTGCTCTCAGGGGACAGTGTGTATGAATTATTTAAAAAGTCCAGCAAAACCACTTATTCCTTCCAAGCTGCAGTGGAGGAAGAGTGTGTTTGAGTGTAAAAAGGAGAACAATGGTATTTTGTTACAAACAAGGCATTATTTGCAGTCTTCCCTGGCTGCATATGGTTGCTTTTTATTGCTGCTTTTTCTTGTCATTGTTGTGTATAAACGGCAGGTTTGCATGGGAATGTATTAAATCAGACATATTGTTTCCCCAAGGACTTGCCTGATATTGCAAATCCACTGAAGCCGACAGCCAACACAAGGAATGAAATGGCCATCCCTTTACTGTGCGAGTAACCAACAACCAATAAGAGAGTGGCCTCCATCCCAAAGCCTGTGAAAGATAAAAACATGTGGATAAACAATTCACTAAGCTAAAATAGACAAATAAAATGACAATAAAAATATATTTAGAGGAAATGCCGAAAGGGTAAAAGTGTGAAATATTTAGGTCATAACATTTCAAATGGTTTTCTAGAGCTATATATAGCTGTGTGTGTATCTGCAATAGGCTCCACTCACCTCCGCAGTTCATGATCTTCCGAACTGTTGTAGTTGACAGGATGTTTTTGACGCGAAGGTAATCAGCTAACTGTCCTCCAATGGGTACTACAATGGTCATCACCAGATGGGGCAAGGCGGACAGCATGCCAACCTGAATAAAACAGTCCTTATTACCAATTGACCAAAAATGTGGTTCCACCACAGAAAAGAGAGAAAAGTCCGAAGTCTAATCTACAATAAGACTAGATTTTCGCAACTAGTTAATTACATGTTACACAATTACACATACTGGATAAAAAACAATAAATAAATTGACATGCAACATTACTGTAATATGAAAGGCATCCCTATGAATTAGTATGTTAATTAAACAAATAGATGCAAAGACATGATTTCAGGTTTAACTGTAGCAGGTGAGGAAACGAGAGCAAAATGAGATGCAAGCACAGACTTAAATCACCAATAAATGATTAATGAATAATTCATCATGAACTACTCACAATGAATAATTTATCAACCTATTCCAGACCTTAGGGAATGACAAAGGTCACCCATTTACGGATATACAATAGAATTATAGTCAAAAATCATGCAACTTAGATACCAAGACTAGCCATTTTGATCCAATCAATCATGAATTTTGTATAAAACAAATACCAATTTAAATACATGCAATATAAAAGGTAAACTGAAATTACCTTGCTAATCTCAAAGCCAAACACCTCCTCAAAGTATGCAGGCTGGCTGATGAGCAGCAAGTAGAAGGTCCAACTCCTGCAGAAGTTGGCCACAATGATTGCATAGACAGGCATGGACGTGAAAAATTTCTTCCAAGGTGTCTTGAATTTCTGTCGGAGAAATTAGTATTGCAGTTTATAGCCATATTGATAATGATTTTATCTGTCGTGTCTTGAACATTTTTGATTTTTTGTCAGTACTGATGTTCTCTAGGAGTGCATGGCATTTACACCAAAGAAATCAAAGTATTAGCTGACTGACATTTTATAGCTTCAAAACAACTAATGTGCAAGACTTCTCTTATACTATATGTCTTTGGTATGTTACCGAATTTAATTAAATCCTCATATGGTGACACTGAATATATCGGCCTCTACCTCAAAATCTATAAGACCACAATAGATTAATAAAATAAGTTTATACTTTAAAGGCAACATGTTTTGGTAGTCACACATTTATCTCCTCATGTTTTTCAACACATCCAGACTTATATGCTTTTTAAAATATTACCTTTTATGTGAAAAGGTTTCATGTAAAACGTCTGCAAAGTTTTAAAGATTAAAGTGCAAAATCCATAAAATGATTGTCTCAATCAAAAGTTGATTCTGAACTGCTGAAATGAGTCGTCAGCAATTCCAGGGTATTATAATCATAACACATTTGCCTATGGTCTTTATTGATGCGAACAATGTCTACTTAGTACTTTGGCCCACCCTCAAATAATGCAGTTGTAGCAGAGAATTTCGACATGTCGAGAAGACACTGCATGTTTGTTTTTTTTTGTTTTTTTGCTCAGTAAATCCACTTTGCATGCTCTTCCAAAGGTTAGGACTTAAAACCAATGCCATTGTTACTGTTTATATATGCAAGTGCTGAGGAAGTTTCTGGAGCTAAAAATCAAATATGGTCATGGATGAACATGTGTAAGCAGTAGACCAATCACAACAGACTGGGCCATCTGACCAATCAGAGCAGAAGGTCTCGGAAAGGAGGGGTTAAGAGAGTGAATCCTTTATCAAGAAATTTAAAATACTAAAATACTGTGAAAAAAGTGCAATGAATATGATGAGAAAATTAAAGTGTTTTTTTGAACATGGATGTATGTAAACCTATTGTAGGAGGAGACCTTCAAAATCAAATTAGGAATCTTTAAAAAAAAACATATTACTGGAAATTGAAATAATTTTATGGTTTCATTGACCGTCTATCAAATTGCAAATAACTCAAAACAAGTTTTAAACTACAGCAATGTCATAATAATTTTGTTCACAGTAACTGTAAACAGGGGTTTCTCTCTCCATCAAAGCTCCCAATCTTAAACAAGGTCAAAATCTTAAAAGAAAACATATCCTCTTCTTTTGCCAATTATTAACCTTATGTGAAAATAAATAGACAATAGCAAATTATGCTGTTAAGGCCTAGCATACGGAGTCAGAAATTTCGTATGCGTTTTTTCGTATTCGTGATTCGGTGGCTCTGAATTGTCAAAACACCATTCAAAAACCATTCAAACTGCTTGCTACTGATATGAAAAAACACAGAAAATCAAACCTGATCCGATTTTTTTTTATGACGGACGAAAGTGTGCAAGTGTGATTTAAACGTGTGGTCGTATTTATGTTTTTAACGTGTGAAAATTGCGGATGCGAATTTTGGACTCAGTGTGCAAGGGCCATTAATCTCTACAATCTTTTAAAGCACAACCATATGAATTTGATTTGTTTCAAGCAACAACTGAGTATTATAATTACAGATAATTATAAGAGTGATGCTTATAGGTTTGAATGAGGGGAGATGTTATTCCATTAGTCAAACCATCTCTTTTTAGGACTTGAGTCCTTTAGTCCATATCCAGAAGTTTGGAGTATGATTATGTATGGGGTCACTCACTTCTGCAGGTCCTAGCAGCTTAGCGCTCTCTCCGATACTCTCCTCAATGAAGCAGCGTTCTTCAGCAGTGATGGTGGGATGTACAGCTGGGCTCTCATATGACACCAAGATCCAGAACAAATACCAGAACATCCCAAAACACCCTAAAGAGAAACAAAGAGTTCTTAGATGTTGATCTTAAAGCAAAGCATCATAAAATGATGTCAGATAAGAAGCAGACAGGAAGATCAGCTGACTGAAAACTCCTCATTTAACTGAATGAATTACAGTTCATTGCTTTCCAGACAGAGTGTGCTAATTCTTGGCACAGGGACAGGCAGATTCAGTGTCAGAGCAGAGGATAGACACATGGCAGCATCAGAGGAAAAATCAATACTCAGTATCAGTGCTACACAGTTGATCCATACTACACACTTACTAAAATACACTCATCAAGACCGTTAAGCACTCTTATACAATTATGCCATATACACTATAACCATGGCTCATACAGTGGTGCACACACACAAACCACTCTTACCATATACGTAGAAAACAGATGACCAGCCAGTGTACTGCACCAGGATCCCAGCTAGAGGCATGGCAATGACAGCTCCAGCATAGGAACCTACAGAACGGGAGAGGATGAGGGCCACGTGAGAGCTCAAATGGAACCAAAAACAGCTTCAACTCTGGCAGCTTCAAATCAAAATCGCTGAATACAAGCATTAAAACAACACAGGAAAATACAGTCCATGAATAAATAATGTTTCCTAGAATTCTTGAGGACAAACAACAAATGTATCTTTAAATTTTAATATGCACACAATAATGAGGCAACTAAACAAAATATAATGGCACATGATTTTTTTTTACGAACAACCAATTTACTTGAAAGAGAATAAAGATGTAAATTACCACAGAAAGAGGTTGTGGCTAGACGGCTTCTTTCCAGTGGAGGAGCCCATTTACTCCAGATCCCATGACAGGCTGGGTAGGTCACACCCTAGATAACAATAATACTACAAATCAGGTTTACAAAGACATGTGCTTAGACACATTTTCAGATTATTCATTTTGGTTTTAAATTACAAACATGTGACATTACACTGTGATGTATGATGGCATATATATATATATATATATATATATATATATATATATATATATATATATATATATATATATACTTTGTTGTCATAGGCACATGCGCCTCTACAGATCAATACAGGCAGCTGTACTAAAGACAAAGCCTGGGTTACTATTCTCTCGGAATATCCTCAGGCCATAATAACTAATTGTTACAGGACATGGGCTTAGGAAGAATTCCCACAAATGGCTTTTTGAGAAAATATCCACCAAAGGCAGGAGTTCAAATTTTAGATATGAATACATAGAGAAGGTATGATATTAGATATTAGCAAACAAGTAATCAGAATGACATGAGAGAAAATCGTACTTACCTCTACAAGCCCTTGTAATATCCTGACGAATATGACGCAACCATAGTGAGCACGTGCAGCTGTGGGGATGAACATATTCAGTGTGGACGTGAGGAAAATGGCTGCGCCGAATACCCTGAATAACAGATGGAAACAAGGTTTCATTATAGACCACTGGATTATAGAATGCAAAAAATGCATTTCATATGTAACATTTTGGTTTCTTTAAGCTCTACTTTAACCCCCCAAAAATGGACGTTATAGCCTACATTCAAATCTTTCTGTGTAGAAGAAAATAATAATAGCCTAATAATAATAAAACGGGGATATTGGTCGCACAGGCTGAAGTCCCTACTGCCAGAGAAGAAATACGGGTTTCCATTTATTTCCAATTTTCCTGGCGTCCTGCAGAGCTCAAGACCCTTTCTCTCACCTCTCCCACCGGCACTCGCTAATCGGATTGAGGGAGTTCTCCGGCACGAGATTCGCTGATTCTATTAGACCTCAATCACGTCAACCAATAGCCGAAATATGAACTGAGAACTGATGTATAATTTCTGCGACCTCAATTATGTCAAAGATTTGACGTAGCTACTGAGTTAATAGAACTTCAATTGCACAGCATTTCAATCGGCTATGTCGATCCAAATATTTCCAGCTACCGACATGGCAGTTTTATTTTTGATAAATTTGTTGTGTGATATATGAGGCACTGCCAAACCCTCTGGCAGCATGTCCGGGGCTGGTTGCCATGCCCCCCTCATTGAACAGATTAGACACGGTTCCCCCCGGGACCTCATTAACAGGTGGAGAATGCCCCATAGACAGAGTCTAATCCTACAACTCACACGACGGGTCAGCCTTCAGTCTGCCACTCACGCAACACCGAAACACGAGCACACACGTCAACCATAGCAATGAACTCTCTCTGCCTGTCTGAAGCCTTGATTTATTCGTTTGTTTATTTGATTTCATTTCCCCTTGAAAACGTGAATAAAAAAATGGTATTGATAAGGTTTATATAATAATAATACAATTAGATGTAGAACAGCGATGTAGGCTATTATGCCTTCTTTAATATTAACCATGGCCTTCTTCAAATGGAAACGTTGAGACGTTTTCCAAAATATCTAATAAAAATTTCGTTAGAGATCTTTCTCCTTTCTTCGTTTTCTGTAACAAAATTGAATCACTGGACTATAATAGCCTAATGCATACAGTTAAGTGTGTTGCATAGAGTATAACTAAATTAATTTCACACAAAATGCATGTCCTCCTTAAGTATTTACACAATCAACCAATCAATAAAACAAATTGGAGGCTGAGTCGCACTTGTGCTACATCAGCTCCTCCCATCATCCTCTATTTCTTCCGATGACAGTATATCCAGTATGCGCTATGAATAACCAAGGTAAAAAAACAATCTTTGTAGCTCGATTTTGCTAATGCGAATTCGGCTATTGCTTATTTCAAATATTTATTTCAATTATGTTTTATATAGTCTTATATTACTGAAGCCATGTAATAATTATTTATACTATTACATTCAACAATGTTTAATACATTTCAAATACATTTGTGATTGCTACATTTAACGAAATTCGTTGTTTGGCATTATTTTCGCACTGCTTTCGTCTTGGGTTGACAAACACCTGGAGATGCGACACTGGCTGCATTTGAACTTGCCAGCTCCTGTTATGTGCAGAAGCTCTGTGCACGATCTGCTGGTTTGGAAAACGTGGGCAACACCATCTTTGAGTAGGCTAACAGGCGTAACATGCAACATTAGGGACAAACATCTGTGATCCGTTTAAAAATTTTAGAATTTATCAATAAAATAAAGTATTATTCTAGAATATTTATTGTTAGTAAATGTTTTAACAATTAATTAGCATATGAATGTACTTTCGTTACCATTAGGCTTTTTCCTAGCCTATATTGCAATGTGGAAAATAGGCCTATATCAACCAAATGCGACTTAAAAGCATTACTGAAATAATTCTACTATAAATAATAATAATAATCTGAATGAATTAACAAATACACATCCAGTCTATGTTTCAAAAGCTTTACCTGTTTGCCGCCAGTCTAGAACAAATGTATCCTCCGGGAATTTGTGTCACAATATATCCCCAGAAAAACGAGCCATGGATCATTCCAACTGTTTCCGGGTCCCAGTTGAACTTTGCCTTCTATGGAAGAGAAATACCAGAAAATAACAGATTACAAATCCTGTCTGTAAAAGGCGAGACAACTAAAAACATATTTAAACATTTAAACAAATTTATACACACGTTTTCACACACCTCTAATAACATGGTAAATAGCCTAGCCTAAAAGATATCATTCGTTATGGGAAAAGATGCACTTTTATTTTTTTTAAAATATAGCACAAAATGTGTATTGATTATTGTGCACAATAAATGAAATGACAAGAGCGAAAGATTAGTTTCCAGCTGAAGAGTTAATCAATTTGAGGCTGATATAACCAAGGTCATTTTTCTTTTTTTCTTTTTTCTTTTTGCATGAGTGGCCTAGTTGTTTTCAATATTTTCCAAGCTAGTAGTGGGACATTCACTAACAAACTCTTTCCAACAAACCATTGTGCTTTCGAATTATTCCCTTTATTATTTTTTTGGTATTTTCATAAATTGATTTCAGACACCCTCTCTCTCTCTTTCTCTCTCTTTCTCTCTCTCTCTCTCTCTCTCTCTCTCTCTCTCTCTCTCTCTCTCTCTTCTCTCTCTCTCTCTCTCTCTCTCTCTCTCTGTGTGTGTGTGTGTGTGTGTGTGTGTGTGTGTGTGTGTGTGTGTGTGTGTGTGTGTGTGTGTGTGTGTGTGTGTGTGTGTGTGTGTGTGTGTGTGTGTGTGTGTGAGCTTATGGGCTGTGAGTGGGGGTAACACGAAGCTGACGTGAACATATAAAATCCAAGCGTGCCACGCGCACAAACCTCTTTGATGACGATCTTTCCGTTCAGGTGAAGGGTGCTGTTGTTCACCATGCTCACTATTGCCACGCCTAAGTTGCACCGAATACCGAAGGAGATGCAGAACCCGAGGCCGCTCATGACGGCGATGATGTAGCGGCGCGGAAGTCCAAAGCACGTGCAGTCGCACAAAGGTGGCTTTTTCTCACTTGTCTGGGAAGGCCGTCCATCCTCGGTCAATTCAATGTTGTCGCCAGGTTTTTGCCTCTTTTCTAGCACTCTGCATATGTCAAAAGAGAGTTGTCAGACTCCTTGAAATGATCCCGAATCAACCAATAGGAATTGCATCACTTTTTTATTATTGAAGCAACCAAATTGAAGCAGCAAAAAAGAAAAATATATATCCTATATATATAATATATCCTTTTGGCATTAAGTTAATTGAAATATAATATATATATTTTTTTCAAGTAGGCCTGCACGGACAGATTTAGACAATAGTTATTGAAATGGCCTGCAGGAATAGTTTGCTTATTTCTTTTTTTTCACAGATATTTTTTTGTAAACATCACAGGCTTCGTGCTGCTAAAGCGCACTGTATACCGCATTGCAGTATTCCCTTCACCTTCACCTTATTTACATTCACACGGGCTTAGGTCCACTCATATTCACTATAGCAGGATATTCGTTTTCATTACACCAAATAGCCATGGGTATCCAAAAAGAGTTATTTACTTACAGGTATTTACTATTTCATTATTATTAATGAAAACATAGTAGGCTATGTGCAGATATATTCAATAAATGTGCAAACACGTCAATATATTTGTTTAAAAACTTTCGATTCATTCATATGATTTAATTAGCAGACGTGACGGATGCAATTTATTGTGTAATATTTTGAACGTGGAAACTGCATAAAATGCACACAAACTGCATTATGAATGTCAATTCATTTATTTTAATTTCAGTAGACACATAAAAGTCAATGTCCCTGTGTTTTGGAAAATACCCTTTTTCCCAGACTACAAAATATATATAAGTAAACGAAAAAAAAAACTGAAATATTATGAGACACATGTATGAAATGTAGTGGAAATGTATTTTCAGTTGCGAATGAACAATTCGTTCCTGGTTGAGGTGCTCGATCTTTTTTCTCCTTTCATAAATTACACACACAAAAAAGGTTTTTTTTAAAGGCACGTACGCGCACAAAAATGACTCAATTTCAAGGAGCAACGATAAATGATTATCAACCGATTTTCTCATTATCATTTCAATCGTGTTTTTTGCAAGTAGCCTATATGTCAAAGATCTCTTAAAAAAGAGAAGAGACACTCAAGGGGATTGAACGATTACTATGCATAAAAGAAATGCATTTTAATCGCAGGGTTACAATGACAACCTTTCAATTTAGAAAAACTTGCATGCTTCCATCACCTCCTCCCAAGATTATGCAGAATTACATAATTTTCTGCACGTCTCCGTGAGCCGTGACGCCAAACCCGACCGGGGAAACTCGTTATTGAACAGACCAAACTAGCCACAAATTCGCGCATTTTTTGTTCCGTTATAGAGTTCATATGAATTCATAGCACACATCTTGGCCTATTTATTTAAAATGACTGAATCATGTGGAAAATGTTAAAATATCTTACTTGTACACGCGCCCCAGTGTCTTCCCCGCTAGTTGCTTCAGCCCCTCTTTGCTGGGCACAAAACCAGGTTCCCTCGGAGTCTCCATGTCCAAATGTGATAATCCCTCGTTTTTTCCCCGGTAATGTTAAAGTACCATGTCACTGTGTGAGATGACAGAGCATACCGGACCGATACCCAGCGGATCAATGATTCAGTAAGACAGATGAGGAAAATTCACGAGCGAAGGAAAAAAAAAAAAAAAAATCCGCCTACACAAGAGAGATATCAGAAGTGCCCTGGCTCTGTCTACTCATAATTTTATACTCATAAACTGCCCTGCGCGCGATAAGGGCACGCGATGCCATCTCAGATTGCAGTCAATAAATTATTCTTAGCTTCAAACTGAGTTGGAAATAAAATCGTATAACAGCAAATAAAAAACGAGGTATGATCAAATAAGAACTGGTTCAGTTCCTTTTCTCGCACTGTCACTTTTTTAGGTGCAAAGTGACAGTTAAGGGAGGTGAAAGCGTTCAGCACCAAGGTCAGCGACAGTCTCGCGATCAGAGCGGCGCGAGCTCCCGCCGCCACTCCTTTGCCAACTAGCAGTGTGTGCTGCGCGCAAGGCGGATCAATCCCTCAGTGTGCCAGCAGCGGTTCATTGCTTTGGGAGGGGTTGGAGAGGGCGGACAATGTTCACATTCCATTCACATTTTCTCTGATTTTGTCCTCAGATGATCTGATTGTGTTCCACGTAGGGAAAAATGATAGTTTTTCGATGCGTAGGCTACATGAAAGGCACGTGACGTGACATTCGAAGTTTCTGCATTTGTGCTTTAATGCCTATTGCTTGTTTTCCATCAAAGGCCGTGCAAGCCTCCTGGGGGCGGTGCTATGGAAACCGAATGAGGGGTGTTTCCCCCCTCCAAGTGTGTGTGCTGGTGTGAAGGAAAAGCGTATTAATAATTCATACATATCTAGCAGTCGCCCTACCTCTCTCTGTTTCTCTGTCATCCACAGCTAAAATAAAAAAAATGCAACTGAATGTGCGCGTGTGTCAAATTCGAGGCCAATACAGACCATTTTGAAATTTAAGTCTGTTTTTAATGGCCGGGAATAATGCGGGATATGCTGGTGGGGCATTTTCACAAGTTATTAGTAATTTATTATTTTGATATCTTGATAAATCACGGAGCTCTTCGTGGGAAAGTAACTGCGCTGTTGCGACGCTGTGCGCGTCCTTGAAAGAGGCACACAACAGGTTGACGATGGCGCGCTTAGTGAAGCGCAGACGCCATCTTGTGTTCATTTCCATAATGCAGACAGTGTAGAGGACGCAAAAGAAGTGCTAACACGTCACGTGTGATATACTTCATTGACTTTATTTTGGCACATTCTCGTCATTTGACTGCAAACAATAATTTCTTTTAAAACCTTGATTCATTAATATTCACAATTCTTCTTTTTTTCACACGGCTTTCATACAACTCATTCTGTAAACATTTGTAGGCCAAATAAAAAATACACATACATCATTGTCAAAGAAAATAATTAAGGCAAAGGCATGGGTGACGTTCTCATCTAAACACAAAGAAATCCTAACTAAGCGCATTTTTTTTTTTTTGTTGTTGACATTTTTCAAATGTCCCTGTAACATTTTTTAAATATTGTCATTGGGCACATAGATTATGTTTTGTTTTGAATAAAACATTTTTTTTACAAGTATAGCAACACACAATACAATAATAATTCTGTAAACAGTAATTGTATTATCCATAAAAGATCTATGAAAGACAGCATAGATCACTCGACGAGCTAAAAAAAAATATATAGAGAGAATTTAAACACATTTGTGTGAAATTAACATGTATGGCTCACAAAATGTTCTGTACAAGGAAGTCGTGTGTAGTTAAATTGATAAGACACTTTCACACACCTGGGACATAATATTAACATGCTTGCTTGTTTTCAAGTCTCTGTAGAGGATGGTTGGCACTGAGTGAATAGTGTTCATCAACAGTGCTACAGAATGTAGTAACCCAAACATCTGGAATCTAGATGGGGCAGCTGAAAAATGTTCTCTGACAGCCTGTTTCCCTGAATTAATTCACCCCATCACTGCTGTAATATCAAATATCAGTTATCAGGGTGATTATCAAAGTAACTAATGCATGGAGAACTGATGGCAAAAATCTAAACTGATCCTGTTTAGTGCTATTGTGCAGAACTCAATTACAGTGAAATAATATAATGAAAAAAAGACTAGTGTTCTGCTTGTCATGATTAAAGATAACAGCTAATGTTCATTATCCTCAGATATACGATATGTGCAAACATAGACAGAATGAGGTGATGCATAATGGCTTGAATTTCTGATTTCTGAAGCATCAGAAAATACATATCAAGTCATTATAGAGCTTAAAACACAATCCTTCCAACCAGATAATAAATCAGTTATATGATTATTCTAAAGCAATAAATACATCCTCGATGAAAGCTAACAATAATAATCATAAGAAAAATATCTTTTAATATTACATTGAACAGAATGTGTGGGTAGCAATTTTTTCTACAAGGTACTGTATTAATTAAAAGAATATCAACAATAAAAATATAAATATTCTGAGAAACATGATAATGCAAGTACTACAGACATGATGATGCTATTATGTGTTATAAAAGGGGAAAGAAAACTGCAGCTGGACAAAAACAAATATTAACTGTTAAATTTTTTAAAAATCTTAAAAAAATAAAAAAAAACCTGACAGATCAGAAAAAGAAGCAAAAAACAAACAAAAAACGACTACAAGTACCTCTTTCAGTCATACGCACAGGGAAAAAGATCACATCTTCAAAAGAAAAAGGTTATGGCAACAAGCTGGACAGACGTAAAAGCTTTATTGCCTTCGAAAAACATTTTCTTAAGTCTTCTAATGAGCATATCTGAACTTGCTCTCGAGGCAACATGAGCACCGGGCTCTGCATTCAAGAGGGTTTGCGGTTAAAATCACTGTGATGTGTCTCCAAGCCTTTCTCCATTGAAAGAGTTTAGTTATACAAGTGCACTCCAGACATGTAAAAAAAAACAAAAAAAACTGTATTGTTCTCCGCAAGCAGGAAAAAAACTGCAGGTTTGTATCATTGTTAGGCGGGTCGTTCTTTGTAAAAGTTCTGGCAGTTGTCTGAATACGGGCAGGCAGTTTTTTTTGCAATAAATATTTGAAGGGGGTCCCGAAGATTTGATTCCTCCATGCTTTGCATTGTACAGTACATTTGATTAGTCCTGAGGGCTCATGGATGTTCAAATACATTCAGAGAGCACCTGGTGTTTATTAGGACTAGAGGGCAGCAGTGAGGCCGTTTCTGTGGACAAGCAGAAACTCTGACTCAGCTGCATTTTAAGTTTCTCCACTTCATAGTTGTGGAGGTATTCCTGAACCAAAAAGCGCTCCCGCTTTATACGCGCTTTCACGTCTGACGGCACATCTGGAATCAGCCACGCCACAAAGAATTTCACCACAAATACAATGTGCTGAGAAACGAGGGGAAACAGAGGAACAGTCATCATACTGTACAACCAAGTTTAGACAGCTAAGGCCTGGTTTCACAGACAGGGTTTTGGCCTTAGTTCAATCAGGACAATTAAGTGGCTTTTATAAACATGCCTTAGGAAAAAAACATTACTGGTGTTGCATCTTGAGATGGCAGTGGCACTAACATTTTTAGTCTTAAGCCTTATCTGTGAAACCAGGGTACACTTGTGTGTCAAATGGTAAGTAAATGCTTAGCAAATATTAATGTTCATACAGTACGTCTTTTCATCACTGTATTGAGCTCAGTTCATTTTCTTAATAAAAATTCAAAAAAATGTTCATGTTAAAGCAAGACCAGAGTACTGCTGTACTAATTCTTATGGCCAAAAATCATCACACACAGTTCTAATCCTCCATTTTCAATTTCTGCACTATTTTTCTTCTTCTTTAAGTTTCAAGCAATCACGTTTTGAAACTAATAGACAGACTTATTATTTATTATATACCAGGGTTATTATTATTACCTAAAATTAAAGCTATTAAAAACATTTCTGTTCATTAAAATGAAACTAAAGTAAAATATAAATGTTAGTTGTAAATCTCAAACTCAATGAAAATTTGAAATTTCAGTTTATTTCCAAAGCAACATAAGTTGACGCACTAAAATGATGAACTGGTAATAAATAAAAACATCTCGGTTCCCTGAGGAGGGAACGGAGAAGTGCGTCAAAAGTGATTCTGACGAATGGGGATCGCGTGCGAGAGCCTATCTACTTCAAATGAAACTAAACAAGCCAATGCACATTGGCATGCGCTAATTGCACCAGCACAAGCATATAATAAACAGCAGGTGCGTTTGCATCCTTGTATTTCCGCTGAGGAGCCAGACCTGTGACTCGGCCGTACAGCGGAAGCTCAGCAACTGAGGCGACAGGACTCAAGTCTCGGGGAACGAGGGTTACCATACGCAAAAGGACGTTCCCCTTCGTCAGATCACTACAACATGAGTCAGAAGTGATTCTGACGAATGGGGATATCTACCAAAACGCCACGGCTGCTGGCCCTTCCAACGCTCTGCTTGAGCCTCCTGGCCTGACCGAGTGCTGGGAAGGCCAATCACTGCTGTTCCGCAAGACTCACTCAGTGTGACTTATTGGGAAATGCTGGGAAAGCTTGAAAGATCACCAGCAGAGACAGCAGAGCGAGCTCTGTCAAGGGAAAGAGGAGTTGATCGTGGAGGAATACACATATGGGTCACCACAGGGACCACTACATATGGACACCCAGCCTAACACAGGTTCCCCAAGAATACGAGTGTAGGCCTGGCATCAGTCGCTCTGCAACGTCTGACTGCCAGAGGGGTGATCTCACAGGGTTAGCCATTTCTGGGGAACACTACTGGAGCAAAAAGACGCATGTATCCGGCCCATGGGGGCGGGAGTGGCATTGCAAGCTGACACTAAGAACGGGTCCCTAACACTACTGGCCACCCGTAGGAAGATACCGGCTCTACACGGAGGCAATAGGTGCTGTCAGCGAGGTGCCTTGAGCCAGGGCCCAGGAGGAAGCAACACTTATAGTTGAGTCTGCTCGCAACCCAAACGGGCAAGGCACACCTTGGGCTTCGTAAGCCAAGCAGATGGCATCCAGTATCCATGGGCCATCCTCGCTTGGAGACAGCCTTTTCCTTCTGCAGGCCTCCGTAACAGACGAAGAGCTGGTCTGAGGTCCTGAAGCTTTGCGTTCTGTCCACATATAACTGAAAGTGGCCTCCGAAGTAGGCACTTATAGGTTCACTTCCTGTTCCCTAAAGGGAGTGTTAGGAACTTTTGGCACATATCCAAGCCAGCGTCTCAGGATGCGAGAGTTAGCTGGCCCAAATTCATGGCATGATTTGTCGATGATTGGCATGATTAGGACCTTTAACTCAGCTTGATCCAAAAATAAGTCTAATTTGCTGATTTGGTGTTTAAGAAACATTTATTATTTTTATTATTAATGTTAATAACGGTTGTGCTGCTTTTTTCTTCTGGAAACCATGATTATTTGATGAATATAAAGTTCAAAACAACAGCATTTATTTGAAATTGATCAAAACTGACAGGAAAAAAACTTTTACATTGTTAATTAAATTAATACAAATCTTACTGACTGAAACTTTTGAGCTGTAGTGTAAGCTACTGAACTTAACGATTGCTAACTTTCTCTTACTTGCTTTCCCAATTCTCTACTTCACTTTCCTTTTATTGGCTCTATAAACCCAATAAAAAAATAAAAGTTATTATAAATTCTCCTGCATATTCCACCATATTAACTCTAGGTTTTTTTAAAATGAAATGAACAGTACTTTGAATCATGCTGTTGCTTACTTCCATGATGATGATGAAGGCTAGCTTAGCAGCCAAGATGTGCCAGAACTGCATTGTGTGTGTGTATTGCTTTTCATGGCCGGGTGGGTATCTATAGTCCCGATACCTGGAAACAATTTTTTTCATTATGCTGTTAATTTAGTATACAGAAGTGTAGATCTAATTCAAACTATAGTTCCCACTAGGCAGTCACAAACCTGCATGTCGTGATGGTAGAGCTGTTAAACCAGGATGGGTTTTCTCCAGGTTCGGGTAGGTTATCTTCAGGGATCTGAGAGATGTTGTAAAAGGAGAGGCTGTTGGTGATGTAACCTCTCATAGAGGCCTCGCTGCCTTGGTGGTAGGCGTACAGATAGACCAGACGAGGAATCATATCTGAGGTGAATGCCATGATGAAGGCCTCAAGTGCAAATGAGAGGAGAAAATAAACCACAATAGATTTTAAGTATGGAGGAAATAATGCTTAATTTCACTAAAATCAGTAAACTATATTTAGAATGAGCACGTTAAGCAAGCCAAATCCAATTTTACACAAGACTGTAAAATTATGGGATAAGTCAATTAAATATAAAGCAGAAAAAACAGTTTGCATTTACATTTGTGACTACGGACAAGATGGCCACCACATTAAGGATCTCTTCCCATGCTCCTATGTTGCGTGCCTTTGCTGCCACTGGCCTTCTGAACTGTGTGGTAAACTTCCAAGCATCGACTCGCACCTCCAGGATGTTGTTGAACAGAGCAAGAAGAGGGGCCAGTGGAAAAGAGGCTACGAAAAGTGTTATGAAGCCAAACTGGATCACTGTTTAAAACACACAGGAAACATCTGGTTTAATTGATGAAGGAATGAAAATGCTCACAGAAACCCCTTAGCAGATTTGAAGATACAGATCCTTACTTTAAACTTCTTTTATTGGAACTTAAAGATAACAAATATCTTTTTTATGTATACATGTATTATAATGATAAAGAAAAGTATATATATATATATATATATATATATATATATATATTAAAAAAAATATTATATATAGTCTACATTTAATACATAATACTGTTCACACATTTGGGGTCAGTAAGATTTTTTTAATCCTTTCAAAATAAGTATCTTATGCTCACCAAGGCTGCATTTATTTGATTAGAAATACAGTAAATAAGCAAAATATGAAATATTGTAGTAATTCTTTTACACTGATTCTAATTCACTTTATTTTGGTATATCAACACAAAATAACTCGTACCCATCTCCAGATACTCATAGAAGAGTCCAAACTGGCTGAAGTTCTGCAGATCGTGGTCCTGCTCCCATCTACTGTATGTACTTTCTGGATGGCTCCGCCCTTTCCTGCTGCCCCACCAGTTTCTGAGAAGTCTGAGACACAGACACAAAGGGACCATTATGTGTTTTCTTGGACTTGAAAATTGCCTAGAGGACAACTACATCCTGACCTTCTAAAAATATATATACGACATAAATATGCAAGTATAAAACAGTAAGTATAAATAAGTAAAAAACAAAAACAAAGTCAGTGTTAGAGGTCAAAGTTAATAAAACTTACGGAAGCAGAGCCTCCTGGACGTTCCCAACCATTTGTTTTCCAGCCATGACGATGAGCAGCTGTGTGGTCAGCTCAATCAAACAGCCCCCGGGGGCACACTAAATATTAAAATGCATAATTCATGTTAGAACTACTTATTTTGAGATTCACCAGAAGAACATTAGGTTCTTTGGAGAACTGATACTTCAGATTGTCTCACCTCTTCATTTCTCAGACTGGTCCACTTTCCAAACATATAACTGTAGTTTCCCGGATAACCCACAAACTTCCCTTTAAAAAAGGCCACGTAGAAACAGGAAGAGTAGTAGTTCACAAACTGGAACATAAACATCTTCATGGTCAGCTTGTTCTCATACTCCAGATGGGTCTTGGGAATCTCTGAGAGTTAAAAATAGAGGAAGTTCATTATTTTTTCATACAGCTCATCTGTACAGATGAGCAAATATGTGAAGGATAAATGTACAGTCAAATGGCCATTATCAGAAAATAAACGCACACTGTATTGTTATTTTGTAATAATCAAAAGCAGGGTTCCATTACAGATTTGCACAAAAATTTAGCAATAATTTTCTAAATGTTGATAAAAAAATTGTGAAATTGCATTTCCATTAACCATTGTTATATGTAAAATAAAATGTAAACTTTTTTCTTTTGCGGTATGTCATTCCGAAAATCAATGTTTACATATCTCAAATACACCGCACAAGCCAATATTTTTAGTCGAGGATACGTGGGCATGTTATCCAAGCATTATTGGCAAGGAAATCCCCTTATAAGTTGTTTCTGGGTGTTTCTCCCTCATATCTTCTTCAAGGTCTTGATAAATTGTGGCATTTCTTTGTTGTTTAGAATCAAGTATTCTCATTATTCTTTTGTATTTTATGGGTTTAATAAAGAAGTGTCTCGTCTTCTGTCCAAACATACTGTGTCATCTACATAACTCCACATACTGTAACTATAGAATCAAATCTTCATGCACATGTGACCCATGCGGTTTTCGCTCACCCATATCAGTGATCCAGATGGCCACTTGCTCATAGAGGAAGTTGAGGATGAGGATAATGACAAAGTTGATGCATGAAGCGGTGACAGAGGTGGCAAGTTGAGGAGTGATGAGAGAACCCACAAGCTGGATCTTACTGGTGGGGTTGTCCTTCATGACACTGGCAAATGCTGCATAAACCGCTAATCTGTAAGCGATCACCCCCATTATACAGGCCACTATCAGAAACGTCTGACAAAACAAAGAGATGAAGGGAGTTTTAAACAGATTGAACTTTCTTTAAATTAGCAAGCTAGAACAGTGTAGGAAATTGGTAGAAAACTCACCCAGAAAAGAACAGTTGCTCCAGACAGGCAGAATCGAGCACACTTGCTGGGGAAAGAAAGATAAGGCTCCATTTCCTGTTAAAATAAAGAGAGTGTCAGCAAGCCAATAAGTACTACAAGTGTTTAGTACTACAACAAGTTAACCTGGTGTACCTCAGGGGTCTGTTCTTGCACCTACTCTTTTTTCCTCTCTATTTACTTCCCTTGGGGTCCATCTTAAGGAAACACTTAATTCTTTCCACTGTTATGCTGATATGCAAATCTGCCTTTGACCATGGAAAAACAGCATGTTCTTAAAAGTTTATCAGCGGGTCTGGATGATGTAAAATCATGGCTCTAAAAAAACCCAAAAATTTCCTAAACTCAGATTAATCAGAAGTTATTGTCTTTGGCTCACCTAAAACTAGAATCCAAAACATATATTTCATCTCAAGTGCGAAATCTTGGTATGGAAATCGACAACGGCTTGAAATTTGACTGGCAAATTGCCTCTGTGGGCTCTAGTTTCTTTATCTTCCCTCTCTCGCTCTAAAATTAAAACTTTTCTTTCTAACGCCTCTTTGGAGGTTGTTATTCATGCCTTCAATGCATCTCAGCAGGATTACTGTCTATATTCTCTCTATATTATAGTTTTACAAAGACTCAAATTTCCCATCTACAAGTTGTTCAAAATGAAGCTGCTAGATTCCTGAAGGGATGTAAAAACTTTGATCGTCACACCCCTTCTGAGATCTCTACATTGGTTACCTGTTCAGTATACAAGTGAATATAAAATTCTATCACTAATCTTTAAATAATCTTGCACAATCTTATTTGATGGACTTACTTCACCCGTACACTCCTAAGCAAGGACTTAGATCGGGAAACAAACGCCTCCTTCACATTTCCAGAACCCGCCTTTGAAGCCTAGAGGCCTAGAACCTTTGAAGTTGCTGGCCCCACTCTGTGGAATAATCTCCCGACCCAAATTAAACCGGCTTGCACTTTATCTGAGTTTAAAGCTGCCCTCAAAACTTTATTTTCGGGTTTTAACATGTAATTTATCCTTTTTTATGTTTCTAAGTGATTATTGATTGATCTTTATTGTGTATCTATATTGTAATTATTGTACAGCACTTTGGTTTTTCCGGCAGTAAATGTGCTTTAGAAATAAGCGGAACTTGTTTAAATGCAACTGCAGTCATGGTATAACATGTAAAAGTATTTTGTGTAAATAAAAATGACGGTTAAACAACATATAAAAAAATATATGAGATGATGAATAAATTAATTTCAATCGAACTTTAGAATTCTCAAAGTTAACAGGGAATCCAAAATAACCCCATTTACATTATTAATAAACGTTTATAGGTTGGTGTTACAGGGAATCTCGGGATTAGCTCAGATACAGGGAATATAATTTTAACAACTATCACCTACAAATTATAAAATTACCCGTGAGGGAATAAGTTGCCAATGGTCTATATGAAGGATTGAATGCAACGAGCAAAAAAGTATTATAATTAAATATTAATAAGTCAATTGTCTTATTAGATCAATTTTCAGGATAATCTTTAAGGGGATTCATTTATGATCGAATCATCTGCTTGTCCAGCAAGCCTGATCACTCGATCTCCATCAAACCTCACAAAATTATCATCTTTTACAGACTTTCAAGAAAAGCTGTTCCTCTGCCCATGAGGATTAACTTTCCTATTCTATAACAATACCTTTAAGTATCAATAAATTTGTAAAGCACGTAGCTTTGATCGCAACATTAAAAGGACTTTGAAATGTGCACAAGACAGTCAATCAAATTAATATTATGTATTTAATAAAGGAATACACTTGTATAAATGGAATAAATGTATATACAAACAGACAACACAACACTGAACGTGAAAAAAACAGGAAGCGAGAGAGAGATCCCGAAAGGGAGTGGCAAATTACAAACAGTGAACCCTTGAGAGACAACACGGAAAACGCGATCTTAATGCTCTGAAAGCTCGATAAACAAAACGAAAGCCGAGTCGTACCGCGCAGTGGAAAGGCAAATCGTGCCGCGCCGAATCGTACCGAGCCGTACCAGCAGTGGAAAAGCGCCATTAATGTCTCCTGTAGGACCCAGCCAGTGGACAGGCTTCATTTGTGTGTGTGTGTGTTTGTGTGACGCTAGCTCTTCACTGGTTTTATGGGTGTTTTTGATTTAACTCACGTTCGCTATGAAAGGGTCAATGAACGCCATTAGAAACAGACTTTCTGGCACTCGCTGGTGAGTTACTAGACGCGAGTCAAATGTTAAAAGCTTTTCCCCAAACTTAGAATGGTTATGTCATGTGAGCCTGTTCAGATACCCTACAGTGTATAACAGGACTCTTCTACAGCAGACTTCAGTTTCAACCCTAATTAAACACACTAGTCTGTGATTTAAAAGCTATCCTGAACACAGTGGTTGGCTTGTTTTGGGTGTTTGTTAAATTCAGGAAAAACACTGGCCCTCCAGGACTGGATTTGAAGAGCCCAAAGCAAAAGTATATTCAAAGTTTTTTTTAGTACATTTACACTAACATTCAAAGGTTTGGTGTCTGGAAATTTCTTTCTGTTTTTTATATTAATTTCTCCAGGATTCTTTGATTAATAGGTGATTAATAAGTTCAAAAGAACAGCATTTATTTTTATTTTTTGCAATGTAATGTAATGCAATGTGAAAGTTTACTGTCATGGTTGATGACTTCAAACAATTATTTTCATAAAAAAAATCTTACTGAACACAAACTTTTGAATGGTAGTATTAGTGGCAAATCATCACCAAGACAACATGTAGAGTTTTGAATGGTTGAGAAAGAAAAACTCTGACATAAATTAGAATGTAAATGGAGTATTTGTGACATGGAACAATAACTAAAATGGCTGATTTCGCAGCAGAAGAATTGCCTTTGCCATGTTTATGATAATGTGTTAAATGATGTGTCAAAAACCAGTTTGGGCAGAAGACAAATGCAAATATTGACTAGGATCATGTAAATTATTTAAAACATCTCAGGCAGATTCTGTCACAAATCAACACGTGACAAAGACTATTAAGATAGTGTTATCAGCATGCATTTGAAACCTGACAAAGCAACATGCTTGAAAAAAAACTGTTAACAGAAGCTCTTTGAAGTGTTCAGTTTTCATTCTTCACCCTGCTTTGGATTTTTTGTGTCTCCTGTTATATTCTCACGTTCACGAGAGCGCCACAACACATACGCGAGAACTGAGAAGATGGTAAGGATTGGTCTCGATGCAGTGCTTTAATTGGTTCTAAAGTGTGCATTTCCTGGATGTCTGAATCGTGAGAAACCAACGAGAAAACGTAAAAGTGCCTTACCAATGCCCCAACAGCTTACCTTTCACAATTTCCCATCAAATGATTGTGAGGGTCATCTTCTCAGTTCTGGCACATGCGATGTGGCGCACCCGCACAGAATAAGTAGTTGAATAAAGTTGTTCTTTTTATTTTATTTCTTGTGCACAAAGTATTCTTCTCGCTTGATAAACGTAAGGTTGAGCCACTTACTGGCAGAATGGAATTGCCTAGAAGCTTATGAAGGAGTGAGCCAGCTCTCAGATTTCATAAAAAATATCTTAATTTGTGTTCCAAAGATGAAAGAAAGTCGTACGGGGTTGGAACAACATGAGGGTGAGTAATTACTGATTTTTGAGTGAACTAACCCTTTAAATCACACTGTAGTGTTTGCAGGTACCTGAGTGAAGCGGTTGAGTCTGCGGCCAGTGCACTTCAACTCATACTCTGGCCTGATCTGTAGCTGCTGCTGCTCCTCTTCAAAGTCCACAAGGTCCCACTCATATTCCAGACGGGCCTGCCGCCGTTTCCAGAACTCTAGGAACAGGGTCACTGCAAATCACCCAGAGAAAGAAAGAGACAAATAGAGCAGAAGAAAGAGAAAATACATTTTAGGAGTATATCCTCAGACTTACTATCAAAAACCAGCTTCACACATAGTGTTACACAGTGTTTCCCTCCTATTAAAATAATTGTACTTCGAGTTAATCTAACAAAAGTTTCGAAACTAAATAAACGTTTTTAAAATGGGTGCAGGAATATACACACAGTGCTAATTAATCAAATCACTGCATAAGCAGAGCTCATTTTGAGCCCTGTGTGAAATTAATTCAGTGTTCAGTAATGGATAATCAGCATGCATCACTACCCTAAAGTGATTACAGACATATTATCAAAAAGCATACACAAATTATGCTCCTTCATTGTAGATTTATTTAGTGAACAAATGATGTGACAATTTGAACACTTTGAAATGCTTCATGCACAGTTACTCCTAATCTCTCATTAGATATTGAGATATCCTGATGACCTCTAGATGGAGCTATTAAGCTAGTATTTTAAACAATATAAGTGCGCTCACCCCAAATGCCCATGAACATGGCGAAGAACACAGTCCCCTCATTATCAAATAGATGGGATTGCTGAGAAAAAAGGATCACATATGAGGAAAATCTGTCTATGATGAAGGGACAGTGCATCTAAAACTTTTTTTTTTCTCACCCAGGAGGACAGACATGTTGAGTTGAGTTTCCAGTAGCTACACTTTTGATCACAGAGAGGACACATGACAATCATCCCTCCAATTTCTGGGTCACAGATCTCCTTGCTAAAAAGACGGAGAGGAGATAGAGATGGGGAGACATATCACTGTAATGCAGAAGTGAACAACTTCTTTAAATTCTGGAAGTGAACAATCCAAAATCTCTGTGACAACATTTTCTACTACCGCTATTCCTGACGTAATGCAATTACCACAACATGGAAAATTGGACACAAATAAACCAGGCTTAACGACAAATATCACATTCAATGAGCATGTTCCATAAACATCTGTAGCTCTGAAAACAAGAAAAACACATGTACAGGCCTCTAGAGTCCTCTGTTCTCACATCATTTGTATGGCAAGTCCATTACATATGCCATTTGATAAAACATTCTTTAGACAATGAGAAACATTTGAAAGAAAATATATACAGTAGCTGCTATAGAAGTTGTGGTCTACAAAAGGATACAGATATATTGTTTCTCAGTCAATAAAACAACATTTAGAGTGCAACTGCAAAAACACACTGACTGTACACAATTAAGAAACAAAACAAGCTCCTAAAGGATAAGTTTTAACAGTTATCAGCCACTATTAGTTACAAATAGCAATGTAACCACACAGTATGGGACTCAGGAGGCTCAGGTAAAGATGTGTGTTTATATGACCAACATATACTGCCAGTGCCACTAACCTTGTGATGTTGTCATCGTAGCTGAGCACGCCATAAACAAAACAGATCACGCCCATGACTGCAGCAAAAAACAGCATTTCTGTGTAAAAGCCCAGCCAGGCAAAGTAGATCCCAATCTTCTCACCATAGTACTTCCTATGACAAAATACAAACAGGAAATGTAATGCTGGTTTGATATGCTGCAATAGAAAAGTGAGGCGTTTTGCCTCACTAAGTTGTACACTTGCAACCAGCAGTCTAATGATAAAGCATCTAACTGGCTGTCCAGATTTGGTTATTTCAGATGTCATGTCTGCAGTGTCCTCACTTGATCAGATTGAGTGGCTGCTCCTTGTAGAAGCAGAAGAATCGAGCCCAGTGGCTATACAGGTAATACCTTTCACTCTCACACTGCATGTCTGGTGCTTTCTTCCAATACCGACACTGAGGAACAAACAGCAGATAGATGTCAACCAAAAGATATACACAAACGTTTAAAGGGTCCATGAGCTGCATTTTTTTGTGTGTAAATGTTCTCTAAGGTCCACTTATGTTATCAAGATTTTTACATTAAAAAAAAATCCTAATTTAGAAGTAATAAGTTATTTACTCTCTTGTTTTTGACCCTCTCTTTAAAACAAGTAAGGGGAGGTTGCAGACCTAGAGCTGGCAGATATACACCCCTGGCAGTTTTAAGCCCCTGTTGTTCCTGATACGTACAGTAGGGGGCGTAATTTTGTATTGCAAATGAAAGGATACAAGACATTGACAGTTTGAAGATTAAAAAAAAAAACAAGAGGGACATTTACATTTATTCATTTAGCTGACGCTTTTACGCTTTTAAAAGCGACTTACAATTGCTATGTATGTCAGAGGTCACATGCCTCTGGAGCAACTAGGTAAAAAAAATAAATAAATAAAAGAAAAATCGCTTGTTGGGCTTGCACGTTAGAATTTGAGGTAGTGGGGGAAGTGATGTATGCTGTAAAGCAGTCGAATTTTGTAGTTTTTTTTTTTTGCTTGGGATCCTATCCGAAACCCGAAGTTACATAGTGCCAGTAAAAGCGATACAGACACCGTCAGGCTATGGCAGAACTGAAATATATTATAAAGTTTGAAAAAGTCACACAGTGCTGCTTTAAACAATATATATTTTTTGTGTATTGAATGTTCAGCTGCTCTTTTTAAGTTGACTCATTTTCAGATCATCATTCATGCTCATTAAACACTATCTGTCACAGACACGAAGAAGCATCTTTAATTTCCCCAAGCTGATTGCTCAATAAAAAGCCTGTCGTCATGTTTTCAGGCCGTTTCAAGATTGATTTTAATGTGACAAAGCAGTGAGTGATATCTAAGTGGCTTTACCTGGAGGTGTCGCTGTTACTTTAGAAAAACAAGTGAATTGTACACTTTTTAATGTCACATTTTTTTACATTTGCGTTGTTTTATTTTAGTAATATGGATTATTTTTTCATCCTGTTTGTGGAAGCACTGTCTCCCTTGCATCCTCGGAGGCAATGCTCCTGCAATGGTTCAAGTAATCGATTACGTCGACATGTCGTTCCAATCCTACCGAAAAAGACTGTCAAACTGTGTCTTATTTGTTTCAAAATGAATCCGTACTAAAATCCGTACCGTGTCTTTCTGATACTTTGTTAAAATTGAAGTTCATACTACTACCCTATTTTCATTATTATGGAATATGTATTCAATATCCACTGGAATCCACAAACAACTTCTGCTAGATAACATTAAAATGAATGGAGCTCTAGATTGAGCTATACTAAATTAGAAACAAGTCACAGTACAAAAATGCAAAAGTGCATAAATCTCACACTCACATCATGAAGAGGATAAGCTGAGGTGTAGGTGCCGTTGTTCAGCAGTCGTTTGATTCCAGTCTTATCTTTCTCTTTACGGTCTTCCTTGTAGTACGGGCAGCGGGTCAGGATGTAGTACACAATCCTGTTGCGTGTGGAGGGAGGAAAAAATGTATCCTTATCATCAATGAGGAAGAAGTCAACCTTGCTCTTGTCAAAAGGTGCAGTGAAGTAGTCCGGCTCTGGCCTCATGATGCCATCTGGAAGCCGAAAGGGGTGAGTGAGCCACTCCAGAGGAACTTCTCGAGCTTTGGGAATATCGCTCGCTTTAAAGGGCACCTTGATCTTTAGCACATCCGCATAGGTGGCCAACACTTCCCATGGAGCGTGGATCTTCAGATAATATGTCTTACGATCATCTGACTCCTGCAGAGGGAGATTTTATTGAGAGGGGAAGTGTTATATTGGAAAATGCATAACAAGGTATCTGTATGTATAACAAAACAGCATTTGTACAAAAATTCACCAAAATTCAGTGCATCTCCTTAAAAAATATAATAATAATAAAATAAAAAAATAAAGAAAATGTAGCAAAACTTTAACATGGCACTATTTTACATGCAAATATATTTTAGTAAGCAAAATATAAATTGCATTGTACACGCATAATGGATGTGAATAAAACTCGAAATATTCAATCAATAAAAAACAAATATTCCATAACAGAATGGAACAATGCGTGAACTGCGTTTCACAGAGAAATGTTCATCTCGCAGATAAGAAAATATTTAGAGCGAACGAAAGTCAATTTTACATTCGCATGTGCAAGTTTCACTTTCATGTTACTCTCAAGCCAGCCAATCAGAATTTAGCATCATTATCTCTGATTGGCTGGAATTATGGAATTTTGTAACGCAGGGTTGAGTTGAGCAAGCAGGCCGTCTGCGCTTAGAGAGCGCTCAGGGCTGGTATGAGAGGAGCAAGAAAGTGAAACTTTGCACTTGCGAAAGAGAACGTCTGTGTACATATTTTAATGTACACATCGCTCGCTCTCGCAACGCGCGCTTTTATGTGCACACTTCACTAGTTATCTGCTGCAAGGAGGTCAACATTATGTTAACAGAGGTAAGAACATTGTTTGAGATAAAGCTTGTGAGTGTAGGCTACTTGCTGACTAGCGGAGGTGGCAGAGTGATCTGAAACGTTTAACATGAACGTCACATCTGCTTGACGTCACATCTGCAGACAGCGCGGGAAAAGTCCGACCCGACAGAAAATAGGAAAAATAGGATACAGGCTTATAGGTGCACCCACTGTAAACGGACAAGGTGTCAGTATGCTCATCAGGAGATGTTTTAGTCATAAATGGTAAAATGAAAAGGGTATTGTTACCTTTATTTTGGGGGAAAAGCTGCATATGGCCTCTTTAAACACAAAAAATCTACAGACTGCAGGTATAAGTTTTATAACTCTATATTTAGGCTATATTTCACTTAAATCCTGGACTAGAGTCCTGCTTGTACGTTTGAATGAATTATTCGCTTATGTTTATTTGCTTTAGTCTTTTATAATGGCTATTGTTGTTCATTTAAATATTTTCGTACAATACATATTTTATATAAATAATATGCCGTAATTGGTATTGAGAAAGGATCGTGATATGGACTTCAATTAAAAGTTACATTATTACGCCATTAGAAAGACTTTATGAGTGAGCCAGAACAAGGAAGTTATTTTAGAGCTGTCATGGGAAGAACAATGATGAACATATCGCTTTCTTCGGCGGTCATTTTTGGAAATAATCGATCTCTCTCTCATAATACCATAACTGTAATACCTCAAATTTTAATGAAGCGACTCAACATTCCTTTGTTACTAGTTCTAAAGTGACATTTTAGAATTAGTAACGGAGGCTCAACAGTCAACTTGAGATTTGAATCCGTGGCGGAAGGAAGTGGGTTTTTAAAGACACTCCGCTGTTGTTTCTTATTTGTTTACTCCGTCTCGGTTACTCGTGTGATATTGCTTTTTTCAATAATAAAATAAAAGATCCATAATAGAAGTGCAACCAAGAGGGGGCATCTGAGACTCAGAACCTCACCGATTTATCTTCAGTCTCCAGCTCAAGACCAGACTTCTCCAGGTTGGCTTCAAACTCTCTTCTTCTCTCCTGGAATAAATGCCACACAAAAACATGAGTTTCTTTCAACTTTATCATTGTACTGTATCATTCATGGTCTCTTCATCTTTTTTTTATCATTAGTTTTAAGGAATCTATTGATTCAGCTTTGTATATGAGGCTATTTTAAATGTGATATTTAAAGTCCTGAGTGTTGTAAACAAGCTTTAGACTACGTCTTTAGAGAAAACTCGTATTTCCCAAAAGCACCGGTGACCTATGGCTACAACATCTTATCTTGAAACACCACCTTAAATGGCTGACTCAAGGGATATGACATTCATTAAGCAGAGAGCCTGACCACATCAACCTCTGCATACAGGAGAAAACAGAGGATCAAACTGGATCACCAGCAAACCCTTCAGTGTTCTCAGCGATTTAACTAAATGATGGGTCAGGCTAAAGAGAAGTGGTTGACCCCCTGCTCTCATTTTATGCAATCACTGTTTGTCCTTCAGTTTATTGTGCAACAGCTTCTATCTGACTCTGACTCACTGTTTCTCACTGTGCCTTATGACCCAACAGACATCTCACCCCATCTCACCACCACTGCACGCCTACAGTCTCCATCACACTATTTTTGTTCACAGTGAACAATATTAAGCTTCAGCTTTTGTTTGATTGCTTAACAAGCCCAAGTACAGAACATTTTGGAGAGAACACGCACTAATTAGAATTCCTGCATCAATAGTAATTACAGATGAATACCAGAATTTTATGCATGACAGAGATCAGGACTGTGGAAAACAAACAATTAATGAGGGGAGCAGAAAATCTGTGCACGAGATTGTGTCAGTGTCAAAGTGTGCATGAAAATAAAATTATTTTTGTTCTCTTTGTATTTTTATTTATGTTGATTTCCTATGGTTTTGAAAATTAATTTTAAAAAGTATTTTTTTCGAACACCTCGAATCTGTGTGTAACAGCACTATTTTCAATAATGTTCTTCAATATATATGTGTGTGTGTGTGCGTGTGTGTGTGTGTGTGTGTGTGTATATATATGATATATACATTTTTTTTTTTTTTTCAAATTTAACAAATTAATAATTTATTAATATAAGTTTTATAAATATAAGTTTTGGCTTTAAAAACTATCATATAGGAAGTATTATTCAAATCATTTAAATGCATCTTTGAATGAATTAACAGATGGGACTAATAAGTGACTTGCTCTGTCCGAAATCTAAATAATTTTTTTTCAATAAATCAATTACATTATATTGAGTTTATTTCTCCAAAATTTAAAAACTAAAAGTGATTTCTGGCTGTTTCTGTTATAATGCGCTACCCCACACATGATTATAACTTATTTTTACGATCAGCGCAATACATGATGGTATGTAGGGCTTGGGTAAGTGACCATTGGTTGTACACTACTTTTCAAAATGCATCCTGGGATACATTGAGTGGACTATATAGGGTATAATAATCATCATGGCGAGCTCACTATATAGTGAGTAGTGGGAGATTTCGGACACAGCAACTGTCTTGTCTAAAGTGTTTTCTTAATAATATTACTATGAAAGTCCTGTATATTAGTGTCATACCGCTTTTTTGTCTCCATCCTTGTCGTCAACGTAGGACAGGACGAAGTCAATGCGCCGTACACCATCCTTAAAGAACACAGAGCTCCTGTTCTCATCAAACATCTAAAAAAGAAAAATTCAGATGATTCATATCAACAGCATTTCCCACTTATACATAACACATCTACATGACCATATAGCCTTTCAGAGCTACCTCCTGTCTGTCAGTGTGAAAATAAACAAATGTGTTATGATGCACGTAATGTCTATTAACTGTGCTTATTTTTTTAGTTGACAAAACCCCAGCAGACCCATTACATCAGTGCAGGTGATGCTCAACATACCGCATAAATCACTTTAGGGTAGTGAAAGCAGAAATGTACTGCTGAGTAAAACATCATCCCACTAACACAGCAGAAATAGTATCATGACAGCATGAGAGGCTCCAGGAAGAGAGCTGCAGCAAGATGTGCTGAGAAAACCACAGGTGCAGTATGAAGAGAGCGGTTACTTCTGCAGACATGTAGAGTGTAAGATCAACACACACACACACCCACACACCAGTGATGCGCGGGTTGATCCGAAATGAGCGGGTGCCTGCGGTCACCCGCGGTTACCCGCAGTTACGGGTCATCCAAAAATGTTTTTAATGATATTCGGGTCGCGGTCGGTCGGGTCGTTTGAAAAAAGATGCCAATTAAACATTTGTATTAGTACTAGACACAATTTTTGATGAAATATACAGCCCTACATATTATTGGCTGAATAACTGGCACGAAGATAACACACAAGCTCAGTCTAAACTGTTCTCGGTTCTATATTAGTGATTCGAGAACCGCTGTCCCTGTGCGTTCGGTATACGCAGTATCTATGCGCAGTATCAGCTGCTCGTGCTCATCACTTCTCTCAACAGTGGCACCAACATGTCTCGGTTCAGTGCACTGTTGGAGTTACTGGAGTAAATAGAATTCAGGATATTGATTTATTTCGATTCGGAGGCGACTGTCAGGCATGTCTGAAAGTAAGTAACTAACTTGTGGATCAGCACTGACGCAAGATGCGAACTGTTTCGAACGATTCAGTTCGATTTAGTGTAGGTTCGACCGGTTCACTAAAAAGAACCGGTTCAAAAGAACGATTCGTTCACGAACCGGCCATGTCTATTGTCTATGATCACTACAGTCTGCAGAGATGGAGGCGGCAAGAGAAAAGGTGAAGACTGGGGAGTGGAAGCTCCGCAAATACACAAATAGAAAGAGTAAAAGTGTGGGAGACATTTGCTGAAATAATGAAATATGATGACCAAAGTGCTGGCTTTGCCTTTGTTATGTGTAGGCCAGGCCTACGTCTTCTTGCGATGCTGTGTTGTTACACGTCTATGGCCCAATAACGCTCCGATGAGCATTTACTACTTTTAAAAAATGCGGTCAGGAAGCGGGTCGGGTACAATATTTTTTTACTTTTTTTTGCGGCCCGAGTTGCGGGCGGGTAGTTGAAAACGTCGGTCGGTTGCGGTTTGTTTATACATTGACCCGCGCATCACTGCCACACACACACCCTGGCTTAGCTATCTAAATGGTGATGTTCCATAGACCTGTATTGTTTATCATGTATAGCTACACACTTGTATTTTGTACCATTTTTCAGATGAGATTTGTCACCAAAACCTTTTTTTTTTAGGTTTAAGTCACTTCTGGTTACACTTTTTTTTTTTCACAAATACAAATTGTAAGACAATTATGTAAAATATGAATTTAAAAGAACACATCAAGTGAGAAATTTGTAGTCCATCTTCTCTTATAAAAGTGGGATGAAGCCATGATACAGTGATTTGTGTCATGAATTCCTTTGGTATTTTTTTGCTATTGATGATTATAGAATAATAATCACTTTATTGATATCCTAGAATTTATCTTATATACCAAAACATTTCAAACAATGCCAAGGTTAAGGTTAAGTCAATAAAACTATGCTAATATTATGGTATCTTGTTGTAAATGTTAGAATCAAAAATGCAAAAGACAAACAAACACCCCAGCCATCCCAGACACAAAAACAAAATACCAAAACCACTGATATTAATAAAATTAAGCAAATGGAGTATTATAAAACCTCACAATTCATCAAACATCATACTTGTACAAACATGCCTTTGAGGTATGTCCGCAAGACCTATTTTACTATTGAGAAATATACTGTATACTCTATCTTCTACATCACACAAATTCCACAAACACAGAGGAGGAAATACCAGCTGTCCCTACAAATATGCTGCTCCAGACAGTAAAACAAACCAAAACAGATCCGTCACAAAAATGGTTGCCTTCTTTCACGTCCGTCTAAAAAAGGACAGTTAGTGACCGAACAAGGGAAAGTCATTACACTAATAAAGTCAAGGCAATGTGCCATGTGTGAAGGCATTTTATTGTGGACCACTAATTAAATGTGAGAGAGCTGACAGGAGCACTTATATAGGTACTTTGTTAATCAGCATTACTGGTCAGATGGGACCTTTGTACGCTGCTCCTATAGGAAAAGACATGGAGGGTTATTTATCACTATTGATGTCAAAATGACAATCAAATGCCTCCAAGCAATCTATAAAGCAACAACAAATCAACAAAATCATTTAAACTCTCAAGGACATCAATGGAGTTTCACATTATTTAATATCTGCACTCACTCAAATTACTCTATACTAATCTGAATAATTTAAGCACTAGCCTTTGGGTGTTCATATCGAGGCCAAGTAGATGAGAAAGAACTAGTAAAAGTGTTAAAACAGAGTGACAAATCATTGCTTGTGTTCAAGACAGATACTGAAGATCTATCCTTCCTCCTCTTATGACTCCCCTCTCTCTCTTTATCAAAAAATAAATAAAAAATTTAAAAAAGTGAAACAATCAAAATAAAATATGTTATTTTTTTAATTAACTATCATCAATGAAAAATAATAATATAAGCTAGGGATGGGCAACGATTAATCGCATCCAAAATAAAAGTTTGTGTTTACGTAATATATGTGTGTGTGGTGTGTATAATTATTTTGTACACACACATGCATGTATATATTTAAGAAATATTTGCATGTATATACTTTATACATGTTTATCCATAATTAATATTATGTATAAATATAAATATTTGATATATTAAGAACACATTTTTCTTAAATATATACATGCATGTGTTAGTATTTATAAATACAAAATAATTATACACACCACACACACACATCATGTAAACACAAACTTTTATTTTGGATGCGATTAATCGTTGCCCATCCCTAAGCTATTAATATACAGTACACTGAATACAATTTATACACATTCAAACATTACACATTCTGCATATTTCAGATATAATAGGCTACTTGGGATTTTATATTTGTTGTGAAATGTGAATAACAATGCACTATTCAAGAAATGTAATGTTCAACCCTAAAATGGTTTCATTTAAAAAAAATGTAATTAAAAAAAGCTCTAATGAAGTAAGCATTGATTGTAAAAAAGATGGATGACACCCATTCACTCTCTCTTCTATTGGTGAAAAGTAAAACCACCAAAGTCCTAATATGGTGCTAACATCCTGTGCAGATTTGGGACCTGCTTCTGCGCAGTAGTGCACATAGTGAAACTGTTAGTACAGCTTACTGCAGAACAACTCATTATGTCAGTGTGAAATAAACAGTTATGGACAATTAGAAATTCAAGTTGAAGAAGAAGTTTTTTTAACAGTAGCGCAAATAGTTACTTTCCCTGGTAACGAGTTACTTTTATTATAGAGTTATTCAGTTACTAACTCAGTTACTTTTTGGAACAAGTAGTGAGTAACTATGACTAATTACTTTTTTAAAGTAACATTCCCAACACTGGTGCTAGCAAATGTAAACAGCAAGCTGCACACTCTCTCACACAGAGACCTCTGATAAGAGAAGGTCACTCCTCCTCACTGCAGAGAACTGGGGGAAATACTGTATGCCCTGGCCTGGGGACTCTCCTGTGATGAATTGGTTTATACTGTTCTGGGACTGAGATCACAATCATGCTGATTGTAATACTTTATTATTCTCTAAAAAGCAAAGAAACAGCTTCAGTTTATAAATGCCCCCTCACTAAACTGGTAACACAAGGGTGAGTAATTCAGCATCCAGATTTAATGAAATATCGAGACAAAAATGTACCATTGCACATGACTTGCCAAAACACTCCTTTATTGCTGACTGCACTAAGATGAGGAAAGTATCATTAGCAAATTGCACCAACAAATGCATAATCTATTGATGCTTGCTTCTTACATAGCTTCATATAAATATACCAAAATCAATGCTTAAGACTGAGAAAAGGGATTACTTTTATATTTTTAATGCAGTGGAACAATATACTAAAAGGTTCAATGTACATCTCAGAAACAACCAGAATCTCCTTCTGCAGAGCTGCCAACTCTCACGCATTGGCCGTGAGACACACTCATTTGATTGATTTCAATGTCAAGTGTCAACCCGGTTGGTCAAAAACCTGAAATATGATTTTATCTATAGACCTACCTGTTGAGCCACTCGTGATCGACTAGTTATGCCGCAAATTAGTTAAAATCTCCTAGAATCTTGAACGAGACAGAGACTGTGCTCCAAACCACGTAGCAGCACACGCACGGCAGTGAGGGAAGGTGAGCGAGAGATCTTGTGTGTGCAGAGAGCATCCTAATCTAAAAACAGGACAAACCCCCCTTGGCATATTGCGTTTGGTGGACATTACAAATGTGTATTAATGGGAGAACTCCCCAAAACCTGTCTTCAAGAGCTATACTTAGACATTTACAAGTTTAAATTGGCCTAACATAAATGTTTAAAACAGAGATGTTTAGGGCAGTTGGGAGACCAGTTGGGAGATGTTTAGGGCAGTACCACAACCTCAACATGTGACCTATTTACTACATTACCAAATAGCACAGTAGTAATCTGTTGCTTCTTCAAACAGGGTAGAGCTGAACCATAAACTATGACAAGATATCTGACTGAGATGAAAATATCTGATATCTTACCTCTCGGTGACCAGGCAGCTGGTTCCCTCGGTCAGAGATGGAGTTAATGCTGCCATTATTACCTGCAAATGACACAGGTGAAATTAGATTAATATAACTGGATTACATTAATATCTAACTGGAAACATCTTATGCCAACCAAGATGCGTACTGCTGTTCTAAACTTTGCATCTTTTAGTGGTAAAGTACAAAGTTTTCCCTTTAAGGGTACTGCTCAATGACAAGCTGTTGTACTGTTAAAATGTCAAAATTTAGCATGTTTTAAAGATTGCATTGCTACATTAAAATAGGGCTTGTTCAGCACAGTAGATCGCAGACCAAAGGTGGGCAGCATTAAAGGTGCAGTAAGCGATTTCTGAAAAACGCTGCAGAAAGTGGATCGGACCAGAGACTATTTATATAGAGACATGCCACTGCCTCAATCCTTAATACAAATGTATAGGGAAAACCCGTAACACCAAAGATGGCGGTTGTATGCAAATGCCCCGCCCCTCCCGCTAGACAGCCAATCGTCTGCTTTTAATGGTCAAGCCGGGAAACATTTAAACACATAACTGTTTGAAAAGGTGGCAGATTAGATATGCAGTGTATGTGTGCGTTGTGTAAATATCAGACATCCCAAGTCTCCCAGAAGTTCCGGGTGTCTCCCGCAGATTGATAGAGGCTCGCTGATGCCCGCAAATTAGTTCAAATCTCCGAAATAGCTGCCCGGAGGCGTTCCCAAGATGGCGGCGAGTGGCACGACTTGCCTGAAAGGACTTTGATCGGACTGAGCAGTGAGCGCCATAATAAACTTGTAGCCAATCAGCAGTAGGGGGCGTGTCCACGCATGATGAGTGAGGAGAGACAGTAAGATTTGAAAACTGTTGAAAGAGAGATGCCGGAGATACATTACAAAAGAAAAAAGGTCAAAGGAATATCACTGGGAAAAAAAGGTTAGAGCTTTAGGAAGTTAATATTAGAACAGCGTTTCAGTGCGGCAGAGACTTAAGCAGGAAGGCCTGAAAACAGATGTTGAGGTTGTGGACCAGCTCCAGACAAACAATTACACTTATAACTGTGTTACTCGCATATGGAGCAGAAAACACAACCTCAGCATCTGTCAGATCTTCCTGTTTAAGTTTCTCCAGCACTGGAGTGCTTTTCTAATACAAACCCTTGTACTGCATGCTCATATTGTGTTCTTCCTTGTCAGTAGAGGTGTTAACCTACACTGGTCTCACGGTTCGGTTCGATTGCGATTATCAAGTCTTTGATTCAATTCGATTATCTCGATGCATCACGATGCATTGACGATGCACTGCATCCTTATTTTTCAATTTTGCTTCACATGTATACAATTTTGTCAATTCAGGGTGGGCGATATGGAAAAAATATCATATCACGATTTTTTTGGGAAAATCACGATCACGATTTTCTCACGATTCTTTTTCAATTTGGTTTTAATATTTTGCAAGTGGCTGTTCATTACAGCCAAACTAATGTTAAAAACAAATCCTTAGGTAACAAAAGAAAAAAGAAAGGCATACATTTAGGCCAGTGGCGAAGATAAAAATCTTTGTCATTACTTTCTTTTTTTTATATTAAAAAAATAAGACAAGATAAACATTACACAAATTAATATTCAAATTAAATAAATAGTGCTTTATTTTTTCAGATGCAGTAGGTGTATTTAGCAGTAGCATTGAAGAAAGTAATTAAATTAACAAATATGAAATTAAAACACTACATAGACTTCACTGAATAAATTGATTCTTATTAAAGCTACTATTAAAGTTCTCAGTCAGTGAGTGATTTTCTCCTTGTGTGTTTTTTATTTTTAATTTTTTATTAACACTAAAGGGATAGTTCCCTCAAAAATGAAAATGGTCTTAATTTACTCTCTCAAGATGTTTTAAACATGAATAAGTTTCTTTCTTCTGTTTAAAATAAAAGTCATTTTGAATAATGTGGGTAACCGAACAGTTGCTGGTCCCCCTGTTTTTTATAGGTTCTCTCCTGGAAGTTAATGGGGACCAGCAACTGTTTGGTTACCCACATTAAAAAAAAATGTATTTTGTGTTCAGCACAAGAAAGAAATGAATACAGGTATGGAACAATATTAGAGTGAGTAATTAATGACAGATTTTTTTTTTTTTTTTTGTGAACTATCCCTTTAAGGACAAGCGGCAGTACTATTTACTCCTGTCGTTTATAGACCAGCACGCGACGCTTTTCAATATAGACGCATATTACACCAGATATTCTCTCAAATGTTTGCTTTCACTTTAGACGTAGCCTGTTTATGTACACATTGTGTGTATTTAACAGTATTAGCATAATAAGACTCGAAAGATAACTTAGTCCAGTATTCTGGCGCTGTTTGACAGGCTTCTAGTGCCTGTGATTGTCGTGGGTATATGCGGTCAGGAAAGCGCACGTTAGAACAGCGCATCAGCGCGTGGATTAAATGTTTAACCGACAAGGCTTATGCAAGTAATGAACTTTTGTGAATTGCAGTGTCCCGTACCTATTCATTAACGTGTGATGTCTAGGCTACGTCGCATTGTACAGATGAGATGGAGGCGCCAGAACTGAACTGATAGAATGCACTGTAACACGATACTACGATATTTCTTCAAAAGCAGATCGTGGAGACATTTTAATCGTCCACGATTAAAAATCGTCATATCGCAAACCCCTTTGGAGCATTTTTTAATGCACGCTCTGTCGTTTCGCCACCCTCTGCCATTGTATTGCCGCGAGCACGCAACACGCGGTGCTGACGTCAGAAAAAGCGTCAGTACATTATAACCGGTTATGGGCTATTACTGAACCGATACCGAATCGTCCTCGTCTGCATCGCGATGCACCGTAGAAACGATTAATTTTGACACCCCTACTTTGTCAGTCGTCCGTTCGTCATTTTTGCTATATTTTTTGCAAAGCTTTATTTTGCTTAGCTTCTGCTATGATAAAGAGACATGTTTGGGGGCGGAGCAAAGAAGGGAATTGTTTGTTTGTTTGTTTGGGTTTATTTCAAATATCAACAGTGTTCAATAATGCTTCTCAGAAATCGCTTACTGCACCTTTAATGTAAACTACAGACGTATTTAAATGACAATCATTCCACTATGTTTTAAAAGACACTGCATTTTCAGAATATTTCATTTAATTTTACTTTGCAGAAGAGCAGTTCCAACTTAAACAAATTTGGTGTTGTGCAGCGTATTAGATTTTATAGCTACTATAATGAATGTCACATAGCACATACATTTAACAAAAAAGTTTTACAGTCCTATGTGTTATTTGTCTTCACAGCCCTTTTGCTCTCTCTCCCCCACATACTTTGGCATAAATTCCATTGGTTAGTCAGCAAGGACTTAAATGCTGAGCAGCCAACTTTGTGGCATAGAAGCACTTGCTGTGGGGAACAGTCAGGCATAGTGTTCTCTTTTTGTAACAGGATAAACAAAACACATAACTCCTGGCTAGTTTATGAGATCACTAAATCAATGAGCACTAAATCACCACTCAATCAAATTACAGATAGTTAACACTGGAAAATTAGTGCAAGTAAATATAGCTTGCACCATGGACAGATTAGATTACAGTCTCAGACTGGTTGTTCTGTTAATTTGATTCTGCCTTATTAAATTTTGGATTTTCAGTTTTGCTGCCTATCACAACACTGCTATCAATATGTACAACAAAAAAAACAAAATATCATCAAAACACATCTCTCACACATTCAACTCTCTGAACATGCAATTCTGACAAAAAAAAGAAAGCTTATGAACACACACTCATATCCAGCCTTAAAGCAGTGGCATGAACCTTAACAAGTTGACAAGGCTAACGGAATGAAAGAGCAGACAATGATGTCAACATTTTTTAAACATATTTAGAATTTGGAGCAAAGTTAACATCTACAAATATGTGGTACCATGGACAAGCACACTTGTCACAATATGATTTATGAGATGCTGTTGAAGCGTAATAAAATGATAATGCAGGAAACTAATATGATGCAATAAATTATCAGAGGATGAGCAGAGCGGGGGACGGACAAACAAGCGGCACACGTAGCTCTGCCCATACCTGCCTGAAAGGTCCTCCGGTAGCCCGTCAGAACGGCACAGCCATCTTAACCCAAGAGACGGTTAGGGGTGTAAAGATGTAAATCCACACAAAGCAACTCTTTCTACGTATATGCATTTCATTTCTTTTAGGAGGAAATTAATACATGTGTGGGCTAACATTTAAAACCATTACTAAAATCACACACAAAAAAAACTGCATTTGTAAATAGGTATAAAGATCGCAATTGTCTGTGATCCGTACGGATCAGGCCCCATGGTTCAGCACGCATATGATTCACGGAGTAACTGCTAAGTTTAACCATCATTTGGACAGGGTTTGTCTTGCCAATTTATACATTCAACTGTTTTTAATCGCAAAAGAAGAGGCAAAAATCGGGACTTACACTGTTATCTGTGCGCACAGCCGCAAACAACCAAAGGGCGTGCACACACACGTTTCAGACAGTGTTTGAACACCGAATTGATTCCTCTTTCATGTTTACTTGCACTAAATTGCCATCTCTGCAAGTATTCTCTTGGGTTTGTCATAAGTGAACAGTCCAGAAAGAAACCAGATGTGTGACAGTATATATTCAGTCCAAGCATTCGGTCTTACAGTCACAGCAGACTAATATTCCTGCTGTTGTCTGTCATTAATGTCAGTGTTTCCCCTACCATTGTTTTAGGGGCCCCCCCTAAAACAAGAAAATGATTGAACTTCCTCTCCAGGCTTTCGATCCACTTTGAAAGTCACTTCGTGATCATTTAACCGCTTCATTTGAGAAACTATCATCATGGCATAAACACACAGAAACTCAAAAAGTCATCACGGCAACCCGTCAAAATAAAAGTTCGGTTTAACTTGACAGAAATATATTACTGTTGTACAGTAGAATTCCAGATGTAATAATACATAAACAGTAATAATAATATCCAAATAAATTATGATTTTTTTTAAACAAAACTGAATTTAAGGAATAATCCATGTTTTAATTTTAACAGTAAAGCTCATTGTCCAGCATATTATTTGACAAAAAGTTTATGATAAATGATAAAATTTGTGTTTTATGGCTTCATTTTATTAACAGCAAAAACACAGAATTAGTGTGATGTTTTTTCATATATATTTTTTAAAAAGTAAATAATACATGATTTCAATTAATTAGATATGCTTTTTGATTGAAATTAAAACATCATCTACCATGTTCAATAGAAAAGAAGACAGTGAGGAGAGCAGTCAGGAGGAAAGTGATGACGACAACTTAAAATGCGAGTACCAAGCAGCCTCTCCAGGTGCTGCATTGAGAACCAGACCAAAATAGTTACGTGCACCCCGGTATAAATGTCTGGTCTCTGTCATTTCCATTCTATGAGCAGGCCAATATTTGCTCTGAGCAGAGCCAACAGGTGTAGTCTCACAGGCTTCCTCTGGTCGTGTTATTATGAGTGATGATTAGGCCTATTGGGAAAAAAAGAGCTTTGATAATGGCACCTTTGTGTAATACTTTGAAGCGGAGAGGGAAAAAGCAGCAGTAGTGTTGATAAAACCTGTCTGAATACAAACCTGTGGCCCCCACAGTAATTTCCTAGTAAACAAATCAACAGTTTAACTGAATCTGTGTGAGAGATGGGCTCAGCTCGTTCAGCAGATGTGCTGAAAATATATTGACAATTCCGATTCAGCCTCACATGTCACAAGACTAGCTGTAGTAGGAATATAAAGTGAACTGAATGCATCGGCTGAATGAATCAAGCTTACACCATTGCACTGTTAATTAATGCCAAAACACATAACTCCCAATAGGAAATGTGTGTCAGGAAACGCCATAGATTCAGGTCAGAGAACATCCATCACATTAACAGCAACTAAACCACAATTGTGTGTCCACTGCAAAGTCTTTGAAAAGGCTGCGCAATAACACAGGAACTGAATAAATCGAAGCAAATAATGACTATACTGTGAGGTCAGGAGAAGGACTGTTTATAGATATACAGATAATATTCATAATTAAAATTAGATATGCAAACAACTTTGAGTGACGTACACAAAACAAAGGCATAAATCTTCATAGCTCATTATCTTGCTTTAAAAAAAAGAATTTAAATGTTTCTTATCACTCTGTTGATGCTCAAGGGCCATGATCATACATATATACTAAAAATAGAGTGATCCCTTTTAGAGTTTATTTATGACTTTAATGGGTCAACTACTTGTTCATATAGTATGGCTATCAAAGAGAAAACCAAATCAAACTGCCTGTTGCTACAGCAAAAACTCTCACTTTCTTTGGCCTGGTTATAAACAAGCGCCACCTCACTTGTTGGCTGTTGTCTGCCAGTGGTGTGACAATTAAACTTAAATTTAATTTAGTTGTGCTCTTTTAAAACAACACAAAAATCAAGTAATATTATTTATGCTATTTGAATAATAAAACAGTTTAGTAGAATAACTCTGTAACTAAATTACTATCTTAAAGGAGAACTCCGGCGAACAATGAACCTTTGGTCTAATAAGACATCGGTACCTAGTCGACCGTTCTCTGAGATTTGTTTTCATGATAATCGATTGTAATGAGTTTTATCTTTAAAAAACTGTTTAGCGTATAATGCTAGTAATGGGGGCATTGACTAAGTAAAAAGAAATCGCTAGTTTATACCACTAACAAGGTTCAAAATAGTTCCACACTAACACAGTAACATAATGAGGGTCCATACATGCAAAACGAAGCATTGAGAACTTTGTAAGTGTATAGACCTTTTAATAAGAAGATACCTTATAAAGACAGTTCACTACACAGCAGGAGCCATCTTAGAAAATAGTCTCGATAAGTCGATCCCCGAACGCCGTGAACTTCATACAGTTCAGCTCACTCAGCACGACGTTCGTGGTTTGACTTATCGAGACTATTTTCTAAGATGGCGCAAAGTCAACTGTCTTTATAACGTATCTTCTTCTTATTAAACGGTCTGTACACTTACAAAGTTCTCAATGCTTCGTTTTGCATGTATGGAGCCTCATTATGTTACTGCGTTAGTGTGGGGCTATTTTGAGCCTTGCTAGTGGTATAAACTAGCGATTTCTTTTTACTTAGTCAATGCCCCCATTACTAGCATTATACGCTAAACAGTTTTTAGAGATAAAACTCTTTACATTCGGTTATCATGAAAACAAATCTCAGAGAACGATTAACTAGGTACCGATGTTTTATTAGACCAAAGGTTCATTGTTCGCCGGAGTTCTCCTTTAATATCTTAATGCACACACACAAACACAGCCAGCATGGTGTGGCAGGGAGAGCGCGGAAATCTATTCAGAGTCTACACCGGGTGTCTATGTCGCAATGTCTAAAGAGGATACCATGAGGTCTGCCCTGATAAGAGATTCGTTTTTCTGTGTGACAGTCCAGCGTGACAATGCACTGATAAACTCTGAAGAGACGGCAGGACCATTCACACTTTCAAACACTATTATACAATACAATCCCTTGGAGACAAAAAAAGAGAGTAAACAAAAGTTTTCCAGAGGACAGAAATAACAACACTTTGCATTGACTAAATTGCTTTCTGATGATAAGAGTTCAGATGGTAAACTTCAATAATCCTTTAATAAATGCCATTTCTATGATCCAATTGGATTATTAACAATTGTAATGTATTGTAATATACAATTGTAATGCTGTAAAAATGATGAGTAGGGCTGCACGATTAATCGCAATATACATGAAATCACACTTAAATGAGTAGACTTATCGCGATTTTTTATGCGCAGGTTTTCATTGATGTATGGCTGTGTAAACGCTGCTTCATCTGAGTTTGAGTCACTTTAACGTGCATTTGAAAAAGCAACACACATTGTTAAAGTCCCTGTGAACCGGAAGTTGCAAACGATTTTTCTCCAGTGCTGTGACGTATTTCCAAGTGAAACGGAATATTGAACAGAGAGCAGGGTTTTACTCTAGCGCTCCTCCTCTCCATCTCTCGCTCATAGCAAACTAACGGTTTGAGGGGAGTGGTTAAGCGTTTCCCCACCCAAACTGTGAAACCTACGTCATCAGAAAAAGAAACCGTTCCAGACCGGAAGTAACTTTTCAGATTTTGATTAAAGATTACTAAGGTAAAACATTTTTTTAATATATATTCACTTGCACGGATTAATTGTTCACCACAAGACTAGTAATATGCGCTAACAAAGTAAATAGGTTCAATTTTGATTTCACGGGGACTTTAAACATCTTTCCAAACATGAGAACCATTTATGAACCTATTATCCAACAATCGACAACATAACATAATCGCAGCCTTTGGACAATTTGAGATTAATTTTGCAGCCCTAATTATGAGTTTAACATTCCACTGGGTTACAGAGTCCGAAGGCCCAATTTAGGATTGAGACTTGAATACCTAAAAGCGGAACTTTGGGATATCTTGATCATTAAATTTGGACTTAAATTCTGAAAATATGTTTAATGAATTTTGCTATAGAGCAGTGTTTCCCAAATTTTTGATAAGAAAAGAATCCCATGGCACACCTCTAAGCACTAAGATAACGAAATTGCACAAACATTATATTAAACATTATATTAGGCCATTATATTAAAAGCAGTATTCACATGTCAAACTTTATCTTCAGTCAGGCATGAACCCAAATAAGGTCACATGGGTAGCTATGATGTTGTTGGTGACGATGGCAAAACAACAAATGAGGACCTCAAATGCAAAAGCCTCTAAGTCCGTCTAACGTTTTTCTTTAATATTAACATTTTTAGCAGGCTGCTATGTATAGGTTTCTACCAAAGTACCGACATTTTTGAATGGACTGAGGCTAGGATTTAGTGAGTTTGAAGTGAAAGTATTTAATGAACGTATACTACAGTATGTGCGGAGAGCATTCACTGATTCACTAATTTTTGACATAGGTGGCTTTTAGAAGCTTTTGCATCAGAGTAAAAAATTAATAATATATTGTCGCTGTCCAACGGATGCTTCACATTTTTGGTTGGTATTGTGGCTTTATATATAGTCAGACTAGTGCATGTGACATTATTAACATTTTATCTTTTAGCAGCGAATGACAGAGATAGGATATGTGTTTTGTCTGTCACTGGAACGCATATGAGGCATTAGGTGCACTACATGCATTAAGTTTTCATCAACTTACAGGTTATAAAGTTTATTGCAGTTATATGGGTGCTCAGTGTTTCTCGTTGTGGAACATTTGGACAAAATCTCATTATATAAAAGATGAAGGACTATGCACAGGATATTTAAAACAGTACAGCTATATTAATTGACTTTATGCACAGCTGCACTACTTCAGCCAGCTCCTTGTTTCCTGTCTGCCATTATTGGACAAACTGATTAATCCAGGCGTGTCTGACCTTGAGTCACAACAACAATCAGGCACACCTAAATTAATCAAGTTTTTCCAATAATGGCAGACAGGAAACAAGGAGCTGGATGAAGTTCAAGAAGTAGTGCAGCTGTGCATACAGCCAATTGGCTACAACTAGATGGCAAATACAATACTAAGACTCTTTTCAAATACAAAAAAAGCCTTTATAGACAATAGTGTTTCTTGAGTAAAGAAAACATACTTATTCAAACATCAGTTCTTTATTTACCTTTGCATTGCAGACACAGTAAGGTCATCAGGAATAAGGTGGATAGGAACCGGAGCTTCTAACAGCAGCTGCGACAGAGATGACGTTTCCAATTGTCGATAAGCTCTTTTCTTTAGAAGGCAGGATTTATTCCACCATATTGCGTGTTGCACTTTCTCCAATTCATAGTAATACTAGTGAACCATCTTTCTGTACATAAAATCTTTGGTAAAACTTAAAACAAAACAAAAATGACGGATATAAATATATGTTGTTTCCACCTGAGAGCGTTGAAATATTCTTATTTGCAGCATTTATTTTGGCATTTGGTTGGGAAACACTGATCTAGAGATTCTGTTCCAAGGAGCTCAGAACAGACGAGATACTGACGTTTCCGTAAACATCTGTATAACCAACATATGTTGTGGGCCATGACATAAGCAAGGCTGCTGTGATTAAACCAAGTAAAACAAATTGCAATACAAAAAAAAAACAGAGATAGTGATGCAAACAAAATTAGAATAATAAAAAATAGTCTATTTGGAACACTTGGGATTAATTAACCTGGTCCAACTACATGTTTACAAAAAAGTAATTGGATTTAAATATTTTAGCATATCTAAGAAGTATCATTTATATAAAAGACTATTTTAAACGTATTAAACCGATGCCCAGTCATGATGAAACTACATCGCTATTACAGTAATTGCAATGATGATGATAAGAAGAAGCAATAGGCTATATTACCAGGCTTCAATTACTGCAGCAACAGGAAGTTTTATAGCTAAAATAAAAAACGGTGTGATATCAAAATTATGTTATGCAGATTTAATGAGTTGGCCATTAGCTGTGGGTTCTGACCCTGGGTTGATTCTGTTTTAGAGCTGCTTAAAGGATTAGTTCACCATCACCTCAAAATGAAAATTTTGACAACAATGGGGCGGTACTTCCTTCCGCCTACGTCCAACGTGACCTTTCCAACATGATTATATAATATTTTTTATATGTTAATGAAATACAGTGCAAGTAAGATATATATAGCCTAGACACAAAATTCAGAGTCACTGAAAATCCCTCTGTTTTTCAATCACACGTTGCAGACTTAACAATGTGAGCCATGGCACTGCCACAGTCCTGGTCGAGAAGCATAATCATATTACTATCCAGTGAATCACCTATGATCAGTACATGGATTAAATAGTTACCATGAAATCCAAAGAAGGAGGGGACAGAGTGATTAGGCTGGGTTCCCCTGAAATGTACATTTCCCTTTTATTCTACATTTTCTCATCCCTCTCAAACACTCCCTCTTACAAAACATACACGCATGACACAGAGTAATAAATAATATTAATAATAATAATTCGACACTTGGGCAAACAAACCCACACACCAATGTGAACACAAGCCGTGGACATAAACATAGCCTACACCTACACACCTCACACTTAATAAGTCTCTAAGCCTTAATGCATTAGCAGCTTCTACTCTACCTGTGCAATAAAAAGCCTCAGGATTCATTTCAGCTCTGCTCAATGATTCATTTTACATTATTAAAAAACAAGCCGAGTAATATCAAATGTGGGATCAAACTACACTGCTGCATGACACATCTGTCACATCCCAAAGCTAAAACATCAGCGCAGTATATTCTGTTGCGATAATAGATATTTAGTTGTCAGAGGGGGAACACCATATACCTATGTGTCAATATGGTGAAGCCTATTCATTGGGTATCATCCTATAATGATTTTTTTGGTTACCAAATCAAGTAACTACTTCACAATCCAACAGCCTACTCCATGAATACAAAGACTCCACTCCTCTCTTTACCACATTCTTAGTGGAGGAGAGTTTTCTATTCTAAAAATGTCCTGTGTGCAGGGGAAGTGAATGAACTCATGAGTCACAATGACAACAGACATTAACTGATTCAACATAAGGACTGTTTGATTCCCAAGTTATTGGACTGAGGCCAAGCCATGTGGCAAGACGGAGTAACGTGAAAGCTAAAAGAGCTGGTTCAAACTGCTTTTAAAACTAGGTACCATTCATACAATGATGCGAAGAAATGAACACGTAGCCAAATATGCTCACACCAGGGCTGTTTTTGTGGATTTAAACCATGTGAAAAACACGCTTTTGTGATACATGATACAGCACGGTGCTATGTAATATCAGTCTTTGGGTGTAGACCGCAACTTTTCCATACCTTTGCCATTTCAGGAACTTAAGCCTATTTTAATTTCAGTTCAAAGCCGCTTATTTGAATAGATGTTACTGTTCATACGTTCTTATTTTGTTAAAGGGACCTGACCTGATGAACATGTTGCATCGCCTTTTTTCCATTTTCTTTGTCTTTTAAGTTATCCTGTGTAAGCTAATTTAATGCAGGTCACATTAATTTATCTTTTCATTACGATGACAACTCCCAGACTGACCTTCTCATTGTGATTTTGAACACTGCATATAAGGTTGTAGCAGTTCTTACCTTCAATCTGAGAATCCAGAGTGTTGGACATTTCTATTAAAGTAGCTTCTTTCGTCTTCCCCGTTATTCTCTTCATGTTAAGTTCGTGCGTTTCTTTTCTCCCACGGGACAATGAAAAAAAAAATCCGTCAGTTCAGTCTGCCGTTCTGTCGAAGGAGATTTCCGCTTCCAAGATTTAATATGTAAGTAGGGAGAATGTAGTGGCTAAGCTGTGAATCCCTCGTTCGCTTTCTTCTCCATAACATCAATAACTAACGTTACGTTACGTTACACCAAGCAGCGGCGAGCTGAGGACTGGAGATGTGAGGATGATGATGTCTTAAAGGGGAGTGGCTTTCTGTCGGCATACTGACATAAAGGACTGAAAACGTATTATTTACTGGCTCTCTATAATGTCACGTTTTTTATTACTGTCTTCTTTATTACATGATGTATTCAGATATTTCTACACCTTTTTTAATTGAATACAAGATTAATCTGTATCTCTATTTAGCATTTATGCCCTGCACTGTTTACGGGTATGCGTCGTATATGCATTTCTATATATCCATTACCTCAATTAATTTTTAATGAAAGTACACTGGATCAGATTGCTTCAATTTTACAGCATTTGCGCCCTCTGCTGGTTATTGGACAGACATTGAATGTCCCAATCCTCCGTAGTGCCCCCGGTAGTGCCCTGTGAAGTGGACTTCAAAGGTTTTCAGTCATTCAAAGGTATTTGAGTTAAAAAAAAAAAAAAAAGTCGTACCGTAAATAAAAAATGACGGCTACTTGGAGCAGTTCACGTCCGATTCGGATACTTTTCCATCTCCAAAATAAATCTGCAGTGGTCTGGTCGCGTGGTTCAGCGGTCACATGGCACAATTCGTAGCTCTGCTTTTTACAAATCAGAATAGTTACGGTAAATACGACAATGGCATTGTAGGACAAACGCCTAAATCATGGGCCAAATGGAGTAGCCATTTTTGTAAATCTGATTAGTGTGAAATTAACCACATAAAACATTACAACATTAATTTATCACTAAATTAAGTGGTTTCAAGTATGACTAATTATTATTAAGTTAATTTGAAAATATATTATTTAGACTCACATATATTTGAACGTAACACTATGAACTGACACTTTTTTTTAATGAAATGAAATGATATTATATTCATACACCTCTTGCTATGCATGTACTAGGGAGCTGTGAACACCATGTGAGAAGTAGAACCCGGCTGTGTTTTTTTTTTTTTTTTTTTTCTTTTTCTTTTTTTCGTTCTAACAGATAAACTACATTACCCACAAAGCACCTCTTCGTAGATTATGGGCACTCACTGCAGCTAAGGTATGCTACTGCTTAAATATGAGGACAACTAGATACGTGTCAAATAACTAAGGAACTTTCAAATTATGGTTGTTATATTTCAACTAGCATGTTACCGTAAATGTAGTAGGTTCTGAGGGCATTTTGAGATATTTTGATCACGTTTATCATCACAGCTAGGCGGAATAACGTTAGCTGCGTTAGCTGGTTTAACGTGTCATCATTAGATAATGCTCACTAGCATTGTTTTAAATGCATGTAGTTTTTGTATATTTCTTCTTCTTGATTTAATAAGTAGACATATACTGATGCTGAGTCTGTGTTTAATTCAAGCTCACACAGTAAGAAGAGGACAACCTAAACGCTATGGCCATAACTTGGATCAATACTCTGGAATCAATGATTTTAGCTAAACTGACCAGCTCTCAGTACCTGTGAGTCTTCAATCGCAGTAAGATACCTCCATACACCTAAGCATTGTTCCAGCTGTATTTTTTTTCTTCTTTTTTTTTCATACTTTCTTCAGATTAGTAATAGTGGGATTATATAACAAGCGCATAAAGAACAACAGCATCACGAGATCTGCAAAATAAATAAATATGGATTTTTATATGAATAATGTATTGAAATGCATTTCCTTAAGTAAGATCTCTGTATAATGCTGTTACGTAATTGTATGTTTACTGAGTGAAGATCTCACTGCTTGTTTCTCATTCTGGTTCCTAGGTGTCTCAAGAGCCTTTTGGTGAGCGAGTCATTCCTCGTCTTTGCTTTTCTCTCTATAGTTCATGTCAGTTGGTTTGTTATGAGTTTGTCAAAAAATAAAGTTCAAGATCACGATTCTATGAAGTTTATTAGCAGCACTTGTGTTTTGTGCAGTCAATGCCATTCCTAATTACAATATGCTACACTTTGAATAAACTGTCTGTGTTTGTGCATTACTAATACACGTATTTCTTAATTTCTTCCTTCTTTAGATCTTTCACACAGCATCTCAGCGTAAATATCCAGCTTCTAATCGTATCTCTTGACCCAACCTTGGAGAAGTATAGCACAATGAGTGACCTCAAAGAAAAGGATGCTCCCAACAGTCTGTCTAATAGAGATATGATTGAACTCCCAGATGACCTCTCCCTGAGCGACTCTGACTCTGATGAACCCACAGAGCATTTCGGCAGAAAGGTTGAGGACTTGTCATCATCCTCAGAGGATGAAGGTGAGACTCAGCAGCATGTCAAGTCTGTTCCTCAAGAAAATCCCACCTTCAGACTGACAGGTGGGAGCTCTGGTTTCTGTGATCGGAGCAAGGACATCTTTGCACAGTTGGATAGTGCAGCAAAGCTCACATCTAAGGATCTTGGTGAAGACAACATTCTTGATGGCATGTTTGCCCGTCCTGCTCCACCGTCACCTCCACAGGCAGCTCAAGGGAAGTGTGGTGTTGGCCAAGAGGCAACTAAAAAACAACCTCCAGGTAAAAAACTCCCAGACTACTTAGCAAACCCTGAGCGCTGGACCCGCTACAGTCTTGAAGATATTGCTGAAACCAGTGATAGAAAGAATAGTCAGGTCGCTCATGAGTACATTCAGGAACTTCAAGACAGCCGGAGGTCTCCAAAAGCCACGCTGGAGGCTTTCACTCCAACTTTCAACCAGGATCACAGCAGCAGCAGTGATAATAAGATTGTGTTCACTAAACCCAAAAGCAAAGATCAAAGTGGGAGCAAACTTCACCATGCTAAGAAGGAAACAGTTGGCCTTGAACACTTGGATGATCATCCCATTCCATGGGGCAATAAAGAGAAAAAAAGGAAGTGGGGGTCTGAGAAAGAGGAAGAAGACAAAATGGTGTCCAGTCCTGTCTTCAACAGTGGCAAGAAAGTAAATCGCAAACACTTCCGTAAAACACTGGAAGAGGACGAAGGTGGCGCAGAGTGAGCACTTTGAACATACATATTTAAAACTGCTGTTTAAATGTCTATGTACCTCAAACTTAATGTTGTTTTGTAAAGTGATTTGACCATCCAATTATCATGGTTTAGGCTGTATTATCCATGAAAAGCTCTTGCGGTCATACTGTACAAGGAATTTCTCAAAGGATAGCAAAAAAATAACCCACATCTATAGATTTATAACCTGTATGCAGTGGTATCAGTGGTTTAGTGTGTATTCAATTATTCTGTGGTCATTTTTATGACCACTTTTATGAATAAATTTGACTATGTTGTGTACTTTGAGATCACATTAAATAAGTGTGCTTTGTCTCAATGTTGGTCGAAGTGTTTGCTCAATGTTTTGCATGGTCATGCAAATGAGGAGATTAATTCCACTTCTGGTACTGCAGCACAAGGCTAGACGAAAAATGGACTTTGAGGACCCACTGTACACCATTCTTGGGCTCGGGACAGTTTTCCCCCTCATCTGTAGAGCATGTGTGTTTTAGGAAATTATTACATTTCAAAGTTTTGAGAATGATATTCAGGTATTTTCAGAGAAACCAAATGTTTGGTGGTTTCACCAACTTTGACAACTTTCTCCTTTTTTAATGACCTTTATGATCCTGGTAAACCTGGACAAATCAAGGTATTGCAAAAGTATAATTTGCGGATCTAGAAAAGTCATTGAAATTTATATAGTCTGAATAATTCTTAGTAGTTATACTTGGTTATAAAGTATTTAATTGGATTAAAATACTTTTTGTGAATGCAGTAACTGTGTTTTGTATAGTTATTTTGCATTTTCATGCAAACAATTTTGCCGGCCCAACGACGGAATCGAAAGGCGTGTGCAAAGGTATAATGTCTGTTGTCTCTTGCTTCTGTGAAGTTCACTTAATTTATTAGAATTTAATTTAAATTTTACTTAGCTCTTTCCTTAATCTGGCTCCAATTTCAAATTATTATTCAATTTAGACTGATTCTAATAAGGAAAAAATATATATAAATATTGGTTTATATTTAAATCTTATCCTGGGTATCCCATTCTTTCAATTATTCATTCATTACGGACCCGATGTCACATGGAGTCACACACCGGCCTGGTTATGTGGAACTTTACGAACACAAACTCACCAGTCTGATCTTAGTCAGATGGTGCTGGGTTAGCTATTTCCTTTAGGTGGTTGCATACTGCTTACTGGTTCAAAAAGTGTAGTTTATTTATCACTTCCGTTGATAGAAATCAAAAGGTGTCAGATGACGAACCTAATGTTACATTTATTCATGAGCCTTTAGTTTGACCTACACCACCAGACTCCATAATATACTCACAATGATTTCAGAAGAATACAGAATAAATCAAATATAACATTTTTAATCATCGGGTAAAAATGGATCATTAACCAAATAGAAGCCAATTCAGAAATAATGAATAATATCAATTGCTTAAATAATGAATCTAAGAGTAAGAAATGTAGTCTAGCCTATACCTGACAATGGAGAGACACACAGCAGTGTGTGTGGAGGTTTCCTGGTGACAGAATTCCCAAAGGCTATTCTGACAGCTTCCCTTAAATCCCCAGACTAGAACAAAAGAGTTAAAGTTGTTTTAACTGAAAGGAACTTGCACTAACATATGCCACTGCCACTGTTTTGTCTCAAGATGCAACACCATTAATGTTTTTACTTAAGGCAAGTTTATAAAAGCAACTTAATTGTTCCCATTTTTTTTCTCTTTGATATGGACTGCCCAACTCTCCTAACTCATTTTATGACTTTAATAACACATTCAGATCCGAAATGACTGTTGCCACTGCAGTAACGTCTGAGTTTCGATCTCAAGTTATCAGGCCTATTTATCTCTGTGTGTAGTAGAGCATGGTTTTGAGATAATACATCTTCGGCCCCGCCCTTCAACAGAAAGCGATGACGTCTATGGTCTCACCTGTAAAGGCAGAAGTTACGATCATACCGTCGAGCTCGCGGATGTCTTATATGAGATGGGAAATGCGGAAGTTTAGGTTGCACTGCTTTCTTTCGGTCTCTAGAGTTTCTATTTGAGTTTCTCTCATTTGTTAAAGCTGGTCTTCGGCTATGTGAGGATAAGAGAAGAGACACTGACATCGGTCTGCCTGAACTGCGCTGAGCTGCTTTGAAAACTTTGATTTGAGAATGTTCTTCAGTGATCGAGAGGTATAGGCTTCTGTGTGTCTGTCTGCGTGTGTGTGTGTGTGTGTGTGTGTGTGTGCAGGTGCTGGTGCATAGGCCAATGCCTGTGTGATTGATCTTGAGGAGTATTTTAATTTAACTGGTCGATATAAGACATAGCTCATGTGAAGAGTAAATACTATTTTGTTTTCTGAGTATTTAGTTACAGATGTTTAGTTATACAGTTATGCTGTTTTGTAATAATAAATGTGCAGTTTATACCCTTTTAAATACAAAATATTTTGTTGGATACTGTAGTCTCTGTGTTGCACTCATCCTGTTGTACATCCGAGGCTTTCATCACTAACAACAATACTGTAACAGTAGGCCTATCCAACATAGCCTAGAGAGTAATAGTATATCCCATTACACTATTTAAAATAGGGAGATGCATCCTATTTTATTTCCTATTTTATTTCTCCTTAGTGAATGTCTTAACTTGACTTGACTCTTGGGATTTATAAATAACTGTCTTATTTTGATTATTAAAATGTGTCTAGTTGTTTCAGACAGGTTAAACTGCATTATTTAGGAGGGATTAATGTACTCGGAAAAGAACGTTTCCGAAGAACACTCACCTGACCTGACCATCTTGTTGTCGAGATCTATCATGTGTATATTTCAGAAGAAAGACACTGTGTAAAACTGTACATCAACATTTACATGTTTACGCTCACAACAGACAACTCAGTAATCTGCTTATGACCCCCTTAATCTTGCATAATACAAAAAGTTGAGTTGGGATTAGATTTTTCTTTTAGATTTATTATTGATTAATCTGTTTTGGTCTAGTAAAGTGATCAGGTATGTGTTCATATTACGTAAATGTATATACAAAAACTGAATGAATAATGGTCATGTTGTGGTTAAACAGGTTATTTGTCATGTGCTGCTTCTTAATACGTCATTGACTAGAGCAAAAACATATTTTAATTAGTGTGACTTCAGTTAATGATTTAGTAAGGCAGCGGTGAGGAATAATAATCCACGTTCTTAGTGATTCCTCAGTCTTTTTGACACCCACAAACACACACTCTTAGCAAACAGTTGTAGTTCTATAAAATGGTACACAAAGGCATGTCTCGACCTGCCATCATACCAGCGGGAGTAGCTGCTGTCAAAGTGAAAATCAGACATAGGAAAAAAAAAAGGGAAAGAAAGCTTTTATGCTACAAGAAATTATCAAACAAATTCAGATTTTTTTCCTATCCTAGAATATCTATACATTTCCCACCCAACTGGCTTTTAATTTCAAAAAGTCTTTTATTTATTTTTTTTATTTTTTATCTTTAAAAAGTATAATTACAAATTATAATATGAGTAACAATATGAGTGAAAAACTTTTAAAAGATATTTGAATCCTGCTGTATTTGATCCATTTGCTTTATATAAAGCTGGTTAGTCATTAAGTATTACTGTCGTAGCTTGCATGGAGACAGGTTAGAAATTTGCGTTTCAATTGAGATAAGGTTTGGCATCATAAACATATGTCAGTTTTCATATTGCACATTTTCCTCTGTCTGGGTGATGTATTGTAAGAACATAGATAAGTAAGTATCATGCTGTCCTCAGTACATGAATGATAGTGGCACAGATGGAGTTTACATATACTGGGAAATTAAAAACACTATTTTTTTCAGAAGTTGTGCATTGGTCAGTAGCTAAACCTTTTTTTACCTATTTATAGTTCACTGTTATTTCTATGTATTGCAGGATGCAATGGCTATGTTTGAGCTGGACAGTCCAAATGAGACTTTACTTACACCACAGGTAAGAAAAGAGACTGCAGACATGTGTTTTTGTGCTGACCAATAGGATTTAAATAGTACCACAGTCACCACAGTCACATTTCTACTCGAGCACATGTTCAGTTATGATGACTTCACATGCAAAGCACATGATGATACACCTCACCAAACTATGGTTAGTGTCACATTCACATCACTTAAGTTCTTGCCCTGCATGACCTAAACTTTTGGGAAAAAAACAGATGACAGTCACAAGCCCAAACACTCAACTAAAACAATCCTACAAAACCTAAAGTCAGCAGAAATACAGTCTGATCATTCATTGATTTTAAGAGAAAAATGGTATATCTGCAAGCATGTTTCTTTCTGTCTTGGTTATTTCTGCATTTGTTTCATTCAGCATAACTCATATGCCCCTCGATTATATGACTATGTCCTGGTGGCAGATAAAGTGGAGGACATGGAGGACCAAACCTTTAAGAAGCAGGATGCCTTTATTGGCGAACTGAAACGGAAGAACATTAAAGTGACTGTATGTTGTCACCGTCACACACATAATATTGTGTCTTTCAGTTCAATTTGACTGTCTTACTCAAGGATCTCAAAACTTTTGAACAGAGAATTGAAAATGCTGGAAAGGTGTTCTTCGGTATCTGTGCACCTGAGGAGATGTTTGCAAAGTACAAGTACTTGCTAAAGGTGTCTGATTCCTGTAACTGGAGCGCAGAGCAAAAGTGTGAATCGTCTGTGTCATACTGCACCAGGTGAGGGTCACAGAAAGCACCTCTACACCGCTTAAAATTGAATTTGAAATCTGCCACATTAGACGTTCTTTTCATAGCTTTTGTAATGGGGTTTCTATTCCTTTATTTAATAGAATCCGGATTGTCCACTTCGTCTTGCATCATACATATATAGGACCAGGAGGTACACTCTTTTTTTTCTTCCAGTCTCTTTCTGTTTCACTTTCACTTCATCTTTTTTCCCATTGTTATCTTGACCTATTCTAAACCTTAAAAACTAAAAACTTACCCTGTTCAAAAGTTTGATTTTTTTGATGTTTTGAAGGATGTCTCTTCTGCTCTCCAAGGCTGAATTGATTCAATAAGAAATGCTTTAAAATCAGTACCTTTGTGGAATATTATAATTCAAAAAGACTGTTTTCTATTTGAATATATTTTAAAAATGTAATTTATTCCTGTAATGGCAAAGCTGAATTTCCAGCATCATTACTCTAGTATTTGGTGTCAAGTGATCCTTAAGAAATCATTCTAATATGCTGATCTGGTGCTCAAGAAACATTTATTCTTATGATCAGTGCTGAACAGTTGTGCTGATTAATATTTTTGTGGAAACTGGTACATTGTTTTCAGGTTTCTTTGATAAGTTGAATACATGTTAAAAGAACAGCATTTATTTGAAATATATTTTTTTGTAGTTTTACAAATGTCTTTACTGTCACTTTTGACCAATTTAGTGCATCCTATCTGAACAAAAATATTAATTTTCTTTTTTGTTTTTCTTTTTTTAAATCTTTTTATCTTTTTAAACTTTTACTGGTAGTGTAACTTGAGTTTGTTATCTCTAAGCCTGTAAGCCTGTAAGCCTTTCAAACACTTTGTCTACAAAAAAAAGCTTGTTGTTTAAGTTGTTTAAATCTATCTGTTTAAGTTTTCCTATGCATGTTTTAAAAGGGTTTAATAGTAAATAACACAGACACCCATTCATTTTCAATCTTTAAAAAAAAAAAAAAAAAACTGAGCCTCTGTAATAATATCAATGTCTCTATTCACTATTTTGCTCTGTAAGAGAGCCTTGAAGAGCTGCTGTCTGAAGGTGCTTTTGAGTCTATCTTCTGTCTGCATGAGGTAAAAGCCCTTTTTTGTTTGAGTATTCATATATTTAAATTTTTCATTGTAAAAGCCAGGTCATGTTAAACTTTTTTTGACTCGTCTCTTCAGAAAAATGAGCAGAAAACACTAAAGAAGAAGTGGGCAAGCTGGCTTTCAGTATTGAAGGTTTTTAAACAGCCTGTCACTGATGTCAAGTAAGTGTTAGTGGTTTTATATTGTTCTCTGTTCCTTGAAAAAAAAATATATTTTTAACACTATGTTCACATATGTTATTTTTAGGGACTATTTTGGGGAGAAAGTGGCACTGTATTACCTGTGGCTGGGCTGGTACACACGGATGCTTGTCCCTGCAGCTATTATCGGTATTATTGTGTTCTTGTACGGCCTTGCTTTCTTCAATACCAGTCCACTTATGTGAGTATATTTACAGCAAACAAATGCTGAGTGTTGAGGTGTAGAAATAGATTACAGATCGTATGCAGACAGAATAATGAGATTTTAATTGACTCCCAATTATCTCTAAGTCGTGGTGTCTGGGTGTTCTTACAGTCATGAAGTCTGTGACTCCAACACCATTATGTGCCCAAGATGTGACAAAAGATGCAGCGTGTGGAACCTGTCTGACACATGTACATATGCCAAGGTCAGTGAATAAACATGTCACTCTTTGATTATAATTGAGAATTTCTTGACAACACTGTTTCATTGTTGTAAATGATACACTACTGTTCAAAAGTTTGGGGTTGATAAGATTTTTTTGAAGTCTTTAATGATTTTGTGAAATATTATTACAATTATAATATAACATTTAAAATATGTTTTAAAATTTAATCTATTCCTGTGATGGTTAAGCTGAATTTTCTGCATAATTTTCTCATGATCCTTCCGAAGTCATTCTAATGATGATTTGGTTCTCATGAACATTTCTTATTGTTATCAATGTTAAAAACAGAGGTGCTGCTTAATAGTTTTGTGGAAACCGCAATGCTTTTTTTTCAGGCTTTTTTTGATGAATAGAATGTTGAAAAAAAGAACAGCATTTATTTCAACATTATAAATGTCTTTTCTTTTAATTTAGATTAATGTAATATATCCTTTTTGAATGAAATAAGTGAAAAAAGGATTTATTAAAAATATATTTGAATTATTTTTGGATATATTTGGGGGAAAAAACGTGATTAGTAATGTATGTTCAAAATAAATGAGGGCTGAATGCCACACTATTTTCTGCCTTTGCTTCTCTGTTTCATCTGGACTAGTTGTGTTAACAGTAAATGCTTACAAACAGGTGAGCCAACTTTTTGACAATGAAGGGACGGTGGCTTTTGCAATGTTCATGGCGATTTGGGGTGAGTTTTGGCCCTTTAGCTAATGCAAAGTACATATTTCTATGTCATTTGACAAATGTTTAGGTTCTGTTATGTTGTTTGACTAGCAACCCTGTTCTTGGAGGTGTGGAAGAGACATCGATCTCTGTACGTGTCAAAGTGGAAAGTGTTTGACTGGTGCGAGGAGGAGGTAGACTCATTACCTTTTTCTGATAATTTCTTTTGGCTTATTTAATGTGCATCTGCTGATGGAGCCGAATAACTATTTCTCCACAGGAAGAACTGATCTTGGAGATTGTAAATGATCCTCAGTGTAAACCCAAAGAGTTCAGACATTCCTACCTGCGCAGCATTGTGGTGCTTCTGTTGGTCACGTTAGTGGTGAGAAACGCATTCATTTTTATTATTATGTGTGTGTATATATACATTAGCATTATTATTTCTTCAAAAGTTAAAAGGATATACACGTATGAACGTATAACTGTCATCTTCATTGTTTTCAGCTGGTGGTGATCATTGGTCTGACCCATGCTCTGGTGATCTTCCGTGTTTTAACTACAATATTGTTGTCTGATAGCAACTGGCACTTTCTGCGTGACCATGCTAACACAATAGCCATGTTGTCCGGAGCAGTGCTACACTACATTACTATTCAGGTTATGACTCGGGTGAGAACTGACAGATAAACTGTCTAATGGACATAAAGCATTTGCTTGTTAAAAAAAAACATAGCACCTCTCTAATTAATATAATTCTTTTCAGGTCAACAAAATTGTGGCATTCAAACTGTGTGAGTTTGGTGGGTAATAAATGTGAATTATAATAATTGTTTGCATGAAATCTGTTATGTCTGTAAAGGGGCTAAGTACTTAAAATGTCTCTTTTGTTTATTTGTAGAGAAGACCCGCTCCTTTGCAGCCACAGAGAAGCACTTCACAGTGAAGATGTTCACATTTCAATTCTTTACCCTCTTCTCATCACTATTTTATGTGGCGTTCTTTCTGGGAAGGTAATAGTGTGCGTCTGTGTGAGTGTGTGCTTATCTAGTTATTTACTCTAACGGTCTATTCAAAGTGTCTCTTTATGCTGTGCTTAGAATCAATGGCCATCCTGGAAACTATGTTCGAATTGCAGGGAAATGGAGGCTAGAAGAGGTACGATTGACGCAGCAATAATTGTAAATTACATTAGAAATGCATATTTACATGTATGCATTTGGCAGACTGAATCAAATATAATTGTAAACAAAAGAAAGAATTTTTTTTCCTATCTCTCTCTCTGATTTAGTGTCATCCAAGCGGCTGCCTTACGGATCTCTTCATCCAGATGGCTGTAATTCTGGTGCTCAAACAAACAATCAACAACATATTTGAGTTCACAGTGCCGTAAGTGTTTTCAGAAATATACACTAAAACCCAATTAAATCTTTCGCTGATAGCTCTTTTCATTATTATTAATTATTATTATTATAATTTTTCTCTCACTTTCTATCTCTGGCAATGTCGTTTCTCTGCAGCTGGTTGAAGCTGTGTTTCAAGCGTACAAAAGCTAAGCCGATGCGCAGAAAGTGCGGTAACTGTTACCGGAAGGCATGTAAAGCGGAGGATAGTAACACCTTCCCATGTGACCTCTGCAACCTTCGTAATTGGCTGGAAAACTACGATCTGAATGATGTTAATGCTTTCAGCTTGTTTAATGAGTTTTTGGAAATGGGTTGGTATCTCTTCAGCACAAACTATTTTTACAGTATTTCTGACTATTTTTTGATTGTAATATCAGATTTGAATTGTAAAGATGTATTTTAGTGCAAATGCGACTGAAATGTTGCTAGGTTAAAATACTGTACACTAACATATACTGTTCTTCCCGGTGTCATTAGTTCTTCAGTTCAGTTTCACCACCATCTTTGTGGCTGCGTTTCCTCTGGCTCCATTATTGGCACTCATCAATAACATATTTGAGATCAGGCTCGATGCCATCAAGATGGTCAGCCTTGAGCGCCGTCTAGTGCCCAAAAAGACAAATGACATTGGTGAATAGCTTCTGTAGCTACTATTGGCTTTTCTGTGCATGTATTTTTGTTGTGGTGATGTGTGAGTTTAGCTATCATCATGGATCATCATTAGCTATCAACCATGATGCGTTTTGTGTTCTCCTGTGGCAGGTGTGTGGACTGGAATATTAGAAGCTGTTGGTGTGATGGCTGTCATTGCTAATGGACTAGTGATTGGGATTACCTCTGACTTCATACCTCGTCTGGTGTATCGATACCATTATGGACCTTGTGCTGTCGGCAATAGTACAAACCTGGAGTGAGTGTCTGAGCAACAAACCATCAGACAAAATAAGCTGTTTTTGTCCACCAACAATATTGGAAAAAATCCAAAAAGTTTGTTTATTTGTTTTAAAGCGTTTATGATAGTAGATTACTTCTGTAATGAGTGCATTTATTTTGTCTGATAGCTGTATGACAGGGTATATCAACAACACTCTAGCAACAGCGTTCATGTCCAATGAGAGAGTGAAAAATGACTTCAAGGAATTGATCACAGACAACGGGTATAATGTTACGCAGTGCAGGTAACAACTTTATAGGTTTTTACTTCTACTAATATTAATATGGATGAATTTGATTGGTTAGTCCATACGGGCTAACAAGGAAATGTTTCATGTGATAAAGCGTCATTGCATTGAATGTGTATTGTGTTTACTACAGTTACAAAGACTACCGCAGTGATGAAGACCAGAGTCTCACCTCTCAGTTTTGGCTCATTCTGGCTCTCCGCTTTGCCTTTGTTATTCTGTTCGAGGTACAAATGTTCGAGCTAGCCTATTTAACTTATTTTTCTATTTTATTTGGTTTAACAAACACTAATATTTTGTTAAATATTGTCTGATATTTTTGTTCTTCTCTACGCTCAGCATGTGGTGGTGATGTGCAAATTTATTGCTGCCTGGTTTATACCTGACAATCCCCTCAAAGTCAAGAATGAAAGGCTAGACGACAAACTGAAAAGACTGAAAAAGGAACTTAAGTAAGTATTTTTTTTTAGATGTCTTTACATGTAACTTCTCACTGCTTTGCTCATGTTGTAGATGTATATAGTATAATTTCAAGCCTCACTGTGATGCTTATTTACAGTTGTTGACTCTGATTTTAACAGGGAAGCAAATGCAACATATGAAAGTAGATCTACTGAGGTGTGAACAATGAAGGTTCAAACCATGTTCTTTCATATGAGAGATTTGAAAACCTTCTGACTTCTGTGTGCAAACAAGACTTGACACAAGGAAGATTTCTGTATTTGACTGATCATTATTTCACTTGCATCAGTTCAGTACATGGGACAGATCTCTTCACTTTACTACTTCCAGAGCCTTCAGAAGCTCTCGATGCAGTTTACAGTTTCCCGTCAAGATGACTCGTTTGGTTTGCTTCAGATGGATACACTTTACATGTTTTTGGTTGCGTCATAAATTAATTGTATTTCTGAGCAATCGAAAAAAAGGGAATTTTTTAAAGGAAAAAAATGTGAAAACGTCAAATCAGACAGTTGATGCCTATTATTTTATTTAGTGTGTGTGTGCTTCTAAGAAAAAAAATCCAACAAGCCTAAAATAATCCATTCATTTTGTTGCCAAAAACATTTTATGGCAATTCCTTAGATTTTAACTGAATATATTAATGTGTTTACTGTTTAATGTTTACCAAGTTTCATGACGACTTTTATTTAAATATGAATACCTGAATGTGACAAACTAAAAATATCAGGAATTGTGCCATTGTGTGTGATCATCTTTACAATTCTTTACATAGCAATTTTAAACTGTCTTTTTCGGTAAATATAAATATATTTTGATATTGTATTTTTGATGTTGTCATAGGCCCGGTTTCACAGACAGGGTTTAGATTAAGCCAGGATTAGGCATTTAAGTAGCTTTTATAAACTTGCCTTAGAAAAAAACATTACTGATGTGCATCTTGAGACAAAACAATGGCAGTGACATATTTGAATGTCAGTGCAAGTTTATTTCAGTTAAAACAGCTGAAACATGCATTTTACTCTAGGACTAGGTTAAAATCTTGTCTGTGAAACTGTGTTCCAGGAATGAAAAGCTGAAATAAATATTGAAGGTGAAGTTGAAATTAAACTGTTTCCCCTTTTGTCCTCCACAAGATGTCAGTAGAAATGCACGTGTACACAAAGAATGAATACTTGCATTCCACAAAGTTATTTTTGGAAAATACGTTTTGTCTTATTCTGTCAACTGCTTAAGATTTCTATTGTGTTGTTATTGATGGGTTATTAATTAGCTAATATTTATATTTTAATAATAAGATATTTATAGTACATTGATATTAATAATACAATGTGAAGATGTGGTTGTGTTATTTAGTTGGATTTGGATATAACCCTATTTATCAAACCAATCTTTTAATAATAGTCCTTGAACCCTAAATATCTATACCAAAATGTATTTAAAATACATTTATTACATTATCAAAATAAATTATTAAATCAATTTATACAATAACATTTTTTTTTCTGACATATCGCACTTTATTGTACTTCTTTATTACACAATGCACATTTTGTAATATGTTTTACTCACTTTTAGTAAGGATAGTATGATCTCTGTATAATATCAGTCTTTAAATCCAAGATATTTTAAGTAGTGTATTTAAAAGTATATTTGCAATAGTTCCACTTTAGCACAATCTTTAGTTGGACCGCACTATTTCTGGATAACTAAAGTGCATTAAGTACAGAATTAGTTATTTCAATTTAGCAGACTTAAGTATATCAATTTAGTATACCAAAAAAAATAAATAAATAAATAAATTATTTCAAATACACTGTGGTATATTTATTTTTCACAATAAGGAAGATTATCTGTTTTGAGATGAGGCAGCTGTGAATCTTGTGTTAGAGTGTATGCATTTTATTTTTATTTATTTTTTTTAAGAAATTATAGTCTTGCTGGCTGTGTCTTGCCTGATAGAATGATAGAAATGCTTCCTCTAAGTGTTGCTGGGCCACATATGGGGAACTGAGTAATATCATGTGTGCATATTTCTGTGGCTGCGTTGGACTTTTCTTTCAGCCAAACATACTTGGCTCATACCACGCAAACCAGATATGCATAAAATGTGGATTGCCTTTATAATTTGCTAACATTAAAGGTCTTAATCTTCCTCTTTAATTATCTTTTTTTTTCTCTTGTGGATAAACGGTCTTGGATTTTACTTCTATTTTTGAAGAAAAAAAAATATGTTCTTTGTCTTTCGTGTTTAGAGAGTAAACAGTCAGAACCATTTCTCTGGGCAGAAGATGTTTTAAAAACAAACATTGCACTCTACTCATATCCCTCTCTTCATCCAGTTAGGCCAAAGCTCTTTTTCAGCATTTTACAATTCCGTCTTTATAATGGAGAGAGCATTTTTTGGTCAGTGGTTGCTCAGCATGTTCCCATGCACTCAACTAAAGGCCACAACAGTTGTACACTGACCCATAATGCATTCTAATCTATCAGTCATTAGCCTCAAGAAACCTACCCCTGAAAAAGAAAGGAAAATAGTTGAACATGTATTTCACAAGACTTTTTGTGTCAGTTCTTTTTCTGGAGAGTGTATACTGTTCAACATTCATGACCCTCTTTATTAATAATAACCATCAGAACCATTTTGATTGTGCGTTGGGAGATGAAGTACATTAAATCACACAAAACTAAAAGCCAATCTGTTCAGGAGTTAAATTTGGGTGATAATATTAATAATTTATATTGACATCAAACTTGAAAAAAAAGAAAAGAAAAAAAGATGTCAAGATATGTAATACCTAGAGTTTAGTGAAATAGAGTTTCCTATTTAATATTTACAAGTGGCACACACATTCTTTTGTTATACAATACATTTTTAAAGTTGCATTTCTATCTGTTTCCAATGGCAATGGGTGTGAACTTGTGCTTTCAGAGTAAGGCTTTAATAAGATACTTTGCTTCAAAGGTTTATTTCATGTGTAATGTCATTTGTAAGCTCATTTGCACTCAAAATCCAAGGCTATTATAGCTGTAACAGGTTACCGCAAAAGCCTGCAGCAATGTTACATGAAAAGCAAAAATTGCCAATATTTATTGCAAAGCCAGCAAATCTGTTTTAGTTGTAAACTAACTACAGCATTTTAGTTCACAGTCCACTTCAGTCTCCCTTGCTCAGTCTGTGAACTATGAATTTATATTATATATATATATAAATTCAACTTCAAATCTATGTAAAAAAAAAACAGGTCTGATGAAGATGAATTAGTCTTTGACTTTGACGTGTTGCCACAGAATGTAATTAATGTCTTCTCTCAAACAGGCTTGAGGTTTATGACACACACACTCACACACACAAGCATCTCAGCCTGTCTGTTAGACTAAGTGATCCGCAAACCTTCCTCAACATCGCTGGCATGTTGTAATACTTTAAGGGTGCTGTTAGCTAAAATGTATACTCTAGTCACTAGTGAAAACTTTAGAATTCACTCTCTCCGCGACAGGTCACAATATGTGTGTGTTTGAGATTAACAGGCTGGTTGCATTTACTTTGGTGGTGACGTAAAATCCCATAGATGTTAAATGCCATCTTGTCCACTGAGTTTAGCATTGAGTCATGGACGCAGATTACAGCGCCGCATCATTGAAATCTCGTCTTGTGAACCCTTTCTGTAAAATTGAAAATAGAAAAAGAGAAATTAATTCTTAATTAGTCTAAAATAGTCTAATTGTAAAAGGTTATTGTCATATAAAGAAATACTGTATATTGGTAAATTATATCTAGATGATGGAAAGGAACGAAAGTTGCCCCAAACTTTGATCAAAAAGTAAGGACAGCATTCCACTGTCACATTCCACATGGACCACTGATTTGACCAACGCCATTTTGAACACCACAGACAACAGACTTTAAAACTAGTCTGGGCCTCAGTAAGTCCATGGACCGCCCACAGTCCATTTACTGACCATTTGATTCACAGTGACCATAAAAATGGCAAGAGCTGGTGAAATATGGCCTCTTTAAAAACAAAGTACAGGCCTCTAACAATGAGCGCTTCTGAAGAAGAATACATCACTGGATTGTACACTTCGTGAGGTACTTGGCATTCAAAAGTTTAGTTTGAGCCACTGCTCTATCTATGAGGAGAACTGTATCTCACTTTGTTTTCTGCATAAGCCCACATGTTTAAACAAAATCTGTACTTGTATTCTGATCACAATGACACAAATTTGAGTCATTGTTTTCTGTACATTAATTCACAGACTTATTATTGTTCTATTCATTTTAGATTTGGACATCATACTGTACTTCAACAAAACGGCTTTAGGTGAGTTCAAAATCAGTTTAACTGCATCTTGTGTTCAGCTCAAGTGTTAAACAGTTGCTTTTGTCAGCGGTTTTTGGTAGTTTGCTTTGCTTGCCATGCTTCCTGAGTAAATTCATTTCGTTGTAAATATTCAGCAATGTAATTTAAGAAAAAACAGAAAAGACAATATATTTTCTTTAGTTAAAGTCAAGTCTGGTAATCAGTAACGGGTTGTGGGTAAATATTATTTCAGTTCAGTTATATAACTGAACAACACAGCTGATATCACATAGGAGAGCACAGTAATAGGCAATTAGACAACTTTACAGTATCCTTAAGGAGCTATTCACACACTGTAACCACCCATATTTATTGACTTGACATAATAAAATAACTGACCATTGGCCAAGCAGGCCGATACTCAGTAAGCAAATGCACACAATACCCATCAGTGCAAAGTCTGTATAAAGTAAGGTATCCATTTTCATATCAGATTACAGAGAACAGGCCTTTTGTCGCACGCTTATTACAGGCAACTCTGAACAGTAACACATTCATTTGTGCTTTTAGCTGGGTTTTATACTGAGACTCACCTGTTTGTAGTCTCTGTGAAGTTTGCTGTACTGAAACATGTTGGACAGAACCGTAGAGGCGGCCCTAGCTGCTTTCAGCTTCCCAGGACTGAGACAGAATAAGAAGGGAGAAACATGAGAAGCAATGCTAGGACATTGTACTCTTAATTAAACAGCTAAATAATGAAACAGCATGTAGGCTATATTACAACAGTAGTGCTGTGAGAGCTGGTAGGTGAGGTCCAATATAAACAGGTCATTCAGAGTGCCTGAAAAAACAACGCATTCTCATCCTTTAAGGTCATATAGAACGCTATATGCAAAAACGGCGCTATACTACGCACATGGCACCCGTTATCGTTAATATAACACGCGCTGTGAGGGCTAAGTTTAGGTGTGGGGTAGGGTGCGTGTCATATTCACGCTAAAGGATTTATGACGTCTTGGGTTCGCGTGTTATATTAACGATAAAGGGTGCCATGTGCTTAGTATAGCGCCGTTTTTGCATATAGCGTTCTATGTGACGCTAAAGAATGAGAACGGGCTGAAAAAAATTATTTCTTATCATATCAGTTGGGTTACATCTGAAATTTAAAGAAATCATGCTTTCTTACCTAAGCTCTAAAGTAATAGGACTGTAAGCACCATAAACATTCTAGCAATCTAAAATAGTTTTAGCTAAATAACAGGTCTGGATCTCCATCTCTTTACCACATTACGACAACAAAAGCACTTGAACGCAACACACTGGTAAATACCAGTTCACAAGTGGAAAATAGCACGTACTTTCCATAGCACGTGGACGCAGAATTAAAGCCAGCTCCTTGTTTCCTCTCTGCCATTATTGGCCAAACTTGATTAATTCAGGTGTGTCTGATTATTGTTGCCGTGACTACTGAAGTCAGCACACCTGGATTAATCAATTTGTCCAGGACAGGAAACAAGGAGCTGGCTTAAGTTCAGGATGTAGTGCAGCTGTGCATAAAGCCAATTCTGACACATTACAAAGTTTATCGTTGCTAACCTTAATCCTAAAATTTAATACAATTATTTCAACCCCATCGCAGTAAATTTACAAATCACAGCTTAGCTTGTGTAGCTTGTATTATATGGTACATTTTAGCTGGAATTTTATTTTTTATTTTTTAGTCTTTTCCCTACAAACTAAAGCATTTTATATTAGTGACAAGCTCTTCAAAAAAGGTACACTATCTATTAAAAGTACTATTAAAAGGGGTTGGTAAGATTTTTGTTTTGTTTTTTTGTTTATGAAATGAGTCTCTTATGCTCACCAAGACTGCATTTCACACGTACATGAAATCGGATGAAGTAATTTATGCGTATTTGGGTGCTTTCCGAGAGAGGGCTCAGAGCTCGAAATTTGGCCTGAACCTAGAGTACTCCCCCTTTTACTGAGATAGAAACCAGCCAAGAGTGAGGTGATGGGGTGGTGGAGGGATGTTGTGAAACCGTCATGGGACAGAGGTGAGGGAAGGCTATTTTTATACAGGCTTCCTCTTGTGCTGACTCCTAACTTTGTTACAAAAAACTTAATTTATGTATTGAAGGAAAATGTATTACAAATTAAAATACATTGTTTTTATTCTAATATACTTTAAAATGTAATTTATTCCTGTCATGACATTTGCAGCATCATTACTCCTTCAGTGTCACATGATCTGTCAGAAATCTAATATGCCGATTTGCTGCTCAAGACACATCTATTATTATTATCATCAATGTTTCTTTTGTGGAAACTGTAAAACATTTTCTTCAGGATTCTTTGATAAATAGAAAGATGAATATTTTGTGTCATTATAGATGTATTTATTGTCACATTTGATCAATTTAACGCATCCTTCCTGAATAAACCTTTCACTTTTTTAGTTCAGAATAAAAGAGAAATTATAATGGTTT